TCGATACCGACAGGCCAAACTTGAGCCACGACAATGGAGCCGATAGCTCCGGCCGACGCAGAGAAATTAAGTCCACGAGCACGAACAGAAGTAGGAAATATCTAGACTTTACGTTAACGTTTCGATATTCAGTTTGAGGGACTGAATAGTTCTCACCTCGGAGCCGTATACCCAAGCTGCTGGACCGAAACCCATGCTATAGCCCAAAGCATAGATGAAAATGAAGACGATACAGACTATATCAGCCGTTCTATTTGTGTTATCCGGATATACTTGACCTAATGCTCCGTTGATCTTGAATCAATACCTGTTAGTCAATGATCTATGGGAACAATAAGAGATATAGTAGATTATATCAACTTACCAACATGCCAAAACCCATTGCGACACATCCTGCCGTCAATGTCACTCTTCGGCCAAGGCGGTCGATGAGGAGCATCTCGATAACTGTCATACCAATTTTAAGGGTTGATTCGATGCCTCCGGCCAGCAGCGTAACGCGGGTAGGAAGGCCGAGCTTAGCGAAGAGTGTCGGCAAATAATACTTCATAGCGGTAGCACCGCACATCTGCGCCATGAACTGAAGTAACGACGCACGCCATAGCCGCTCAAAGAGATTACGATCTCGAAACAAGGACAACCAGTTGGCTTCCCCGGTCGCTCGGTGCGCTTCCACGTCCTCTCGGATGCGCGTCAACTCGGAGTCTATCTCGACCTCGGTAAAACTACCTTCTCGTAACCAGTGTAGCGACCTTTGAGCTTTGTTATAGTGACCGTGTTCAATAAGCCAACGGGGGCTATATCATGTTTATTAGTAACATTGATGGGGTCTAGAAAAAGGCGTATCTTGAGAGAACGACTCACGTCTCGGGGATGAAAGGGAGCCCGACTGCAAAAATGACACAGGGGACCTGTATAACGGCAAGGGAAACTCGCCATGATACGTATATGCCATATTCAGTTGTATTCCAAAATGTCACTCCATATCCAACCCTATAAGTCACTCTTTTAGTTGAACCATCTTAGAATAAGCCCAATAGGTTCTAAATGCTTACCAGAAACCCGTTGCTAGGCCGGCAACAAAACCAACGTGATTTAAGACAACATATTTCCCGCGTTTCCCTGCTGGAGCAACCTCACTGTGATGGAGGAGTTAGCATTAATCCGTGACCGCCTCTGAGTAAGAGAAGAGGGGAGCACCTTTGGTATAGGGGCACTGAAGTTGACAGCATGCCTACTCCAATACCAGATATAATTCGGCCGACTATCATCATAGCGTATGCACCCGAACCAGACGCTCCAGATTCAAAAGCATTGCCGACAGCGACAGTTAATATACCAGCCATGGCTGCGTACCGCCTCCCGAAGAGATCGCTGACCGGATGCGAGATGAAAATATAGCTCAGCCCTACTACGGGTTAGCTTTACTCAACAGCATAGCCTTCAGCTCGTGAAAGCTCTTAGTTTCCAATTCATGAACTATGAAATAGCATATCGTTCAAACTTCTGAAGTGGCATATGATGATGTATCAAGCATATGTAGTAGGGTATAAATGACTTACTGTAGCTTAGTTAGTATATCTAAAAAGGAAAGGATAGATAATAAAGGGTTATAGCCATACCATGTTCCCAAGTAATAGATAGCTGTGATAACTCCCTTTCGCGACGGTGTAAGATGACCCATCGCCTTAAGAAATCCTGGATGAACCAAGACAGATGAGAGGATCCCGACATTGTAGCCCCAGACGAATGAGCCAATCGCAAAGAATATGCATAATAAGTGAAGCCGAATATCAGCTTTTGTCACTGTTACCAACGCCATCGCCACTCCACAAAGTTTATACCGTAGAGGATCCAAAACACAACAAGAAAGACAGCAATATTTAGAGCTATGTAAGACAAGAAGGTGAAAATAGCCAAAACTTGAGAAAGGAGAAAGCGTCTTTCTAGCTTACAATCTAAAAGCCGTAGGGTCAACAACTTATTCAAATCTAAAAAAGTGTAAAATAGTCTGCATCACTCACACCTTCAATAAGTTCAAAGCGCAACCTATAGTACGATGTCGCCCCCCCTCCGCGAGCCAGCAAGCTGACCTTGTTCAGCTGCCTATTCTATATCTACTAGTCTCGCGGAGAGCATACACACACGGCTTACCCATCGTGCTGGGAATATCTCCCGCATCGAAGAAATGCCTGCGTGTCACCCCCGCATTAGCCTGCCATCCAGATTTCAAACCTCAACCATTTTGTCTACGTTCGGTGTTATAATGGTATGATATAGCTGGCGTCGGGGGGGTCTTCCCCAAAAATCTACTGGCGTTTGGGAATGCAAGCCAAGAGTCGCACGTAGCACGGCACCAAATATAGCGTACAGGTAATGAGCGGGACGTACATAGGTAGGTAGTAACTCGGCACCTGGATGTTGTGTGCGCAAGAGGCGGCGAGTATTATTGGATGCGGATAAATTGCATTTGGTAACACCCCGGCCGCTGGGGGATATTTGCCGTTAATACCTAGATAACCCTTGATTCGGAGCTGGACGAGCCTTATGTCTAATTCGGATTGCTGAATCTGGCCTGGGTAATTAAGAGTATGGGGTAGGGAATTATAAAGAGAATAAATAAATAAAGATGACGAGATGATAGACATTTACCCCAAGAGAAGCTCAAACGGAGAGACCTTCCGCGGGATAGATATAAGAGAATAATCGTAACATGTTGTGCTGCTAGGAACACTTGTATGCGTACCTCCTATCTTAGAGATGAGTCGAATAGCTTGGATGTAATACAACAATTTTAATTTTTCTTATTCCTTCTAAAATACACTTATCTAATAGTAGTTAAAACCGAAAGACCTGTTCTATTATAGACAGACATAGAAATGTTTATAAAATTGGTCAAACAATAAGTGGTATTAGAGCTAAGTGGTTTCTTTACCATCCAAACTCTCCAAACGTGAAGATGGGTCGGGATATGCAAGCAACCGAAAGCTTGCTCTCCACGGGAAACGGTAAGTAGTACCTCCTACTTGTAGGAGAGAGAAAGAGAGAAAGATATTATTATAAATAACAAAAACTAATTATATCACCAACCACAAGACCTCGATTCCGAAATCCGAATCGCCGCACACACGGCCCGCGAAAATATCAGGGGCCAGCAAACAACAAACATAGAGGAAACCGCACCGCCGAAGCCTTCGGAAGTTCGATGGCGAGATCTACCTAACAAAGACCAATTATTCATCCTATCCCTCTGTCGTCTATCCGAGCCGCTCTCCAACGTCTGTCTACTACCGTATATATTCTACCTCGTACGCTCCGTCCTCCCACCCGCAGCAACCCCATCATCTCCCGGCGACGACGATGGCCAACCGCAGGAAACTGCCGATGCGGCAGCAGCAGCAGCGGCGGCGCGTATATCCGAGTTCTCCGGCTTGCTCGTAGCCGCGTTTCCGCTTGCGCAGTTTCTCGTGAGTCTGCCGTGGGGCCGACTGTCGGATAAGCATGGGCGACGACTGTCGATCGTAGGCGGGCTTGCGGTGTCCGTGCTGGCGAACGTTGGGTTCGGGTTCTCGCGCTCGTTTGGCGCGCTTCTGTTCTGGAGGATATTGGCGGGCCTCGCGAACGGAAATGTTGGTATAATGCGCACGGTAACGGCTGAAGTTGTGCGCGAACGCAAGTATCAGACTAAGGCTTTTCTCTTGCTGCCTCTGGTGTTTAATGCTGGTATGGTAGCTAGTCTGGCTTTGGGCGGGAGTCTGGCGGAACCTGTTGTTAACTTGGCGTGGCTATTTGGACCGGACGGAGTCTTGAATACGAGCCGGAATCCGGACGGCGTGGCTTGGGCCCTCGAATATCCTTATGCTTTACCTGCGCTCTTGAACGCCGCCATATTAGCTGCGTCTCTAGTTCTAGCCGTAGGTGGTCTAAAAGAAACGCTTCTTGGTAAAGAGGACCAGAGCGATATTGGGCTTAAGATCGGAGCGGCTATTATGCGTTGGACTAGGCGTCTACGGCGAAAGGGAGAAAGACAGGAATACGTGAGGATAGACAGCAGCGAAGATACTTTCCTAGGGCAACCCCAGCAAGAGATCGAGAAACCTATACCGACGATGACAACTATTGGCCGTAAGAATCTTCCTTTCCGGAGTATTTGGACGCGTAGGGTGGTATGCGCATTGGTCTCGTTTGGACTGCTCCCGCTACACAACTCAGCCTTCATGCACATCTTTCCCGTCTATCTAAGTAGTCCCCCGGTCGACAACAGCGAGGCTACGTTTTTCGCCTTTTCAGGTGGTCTAGGACTGCGCTCATCTACTATCGGCATATGGCTTTCGATTTTCGGCGTCGGTGGTATCCTCCTACAGCTCTTTATATATCCACGACTACAGGCGCGCATCGGTACCCGGGGCGTCTTTCGAATCGCGCTGTTTTTATTCCCAGTTACGTACGCCGCGGCACCGTACCTATCGCTACTAGCGGGTAACGGAGAAGATGGAGCTCGCTGGGTTTTCTTAGGATTCGTTGTATGTGCCCAGATTATGGCACGTACTATGGCCATTCCTAGTACTGTGATTCTCTTGACCGAGTCCGCACCCTCGAAGACGGTCCTAGGGACTATACATGGTGCTGGTAATATGCTGGCGAGTCTGGCACGTGCTATTGGGCCCGCCGTAGGTGGTTACGTATTTGCCATGGGCGTCGAGGAGGGCGTTATTGGGCTTGTGTGGTGGTTATACCTGGTAGCTATAGCTCTATCTGCTTTAGCTTGGTCTTATATCATAGAAAAAGACGAGTGTTAAAGCTCGCGTATTGATGAGATAGTCGATAATAAATTGAATTTATGGCATTAAAGGCATTTCGTCCGTTTACTACTAATAGGTTGTACTTCACATGTTGAACTTTAGAATATTACGGCAAATATTTTCGCAAGAGTCAAGTTTATATGATCAATATATTAGGTATTTATTAATAGGACCATAGTCTGCGGTTGCTAAGAAGCTTTATTGGAAGAGCTCAACAGCGTCAAAGATCTATAAATATTCATGTTAGTTCAAATACGATAAGAATAGGACTCGATAAACAATTCTTACAAAATTGGGGTTCAAAAAGGTAGTACCGCTGCTGCCTGAGAGGGAGGTGATCGTGATGGTATTGTCACCTGCAACGAGAGTCCCTGAAGGGATGCTGACATCGTAGACTTCGCCTCGGCCACGGTACGCTCCACGGGTTACACCTCGACTGTCAATCTTTGTCGGTGACGATGGGGCCGCTGCGGTCCACGAGTTAACCTTGGCTTGCGGGCGAGCTCCGCTGAATGATAAAGTGGTTGCGATCCGAAGAGTAGCAGCTCCGGGGGCAGACTTTAGGTTGAATTTAATAGTTACGGGGTTGTTAACAGTCTGGAAGAGTGCCATGGGGAACTGGTTAAGAGACGAGGAACCGACGGTGTAAGTAACCGGCTTCCAAGCTGTCATACGGCTATCGGAGGGGTGCATTCGGAGGAACTTGTCCGCATTAAGGAATCCGGTAGGCTGACCATCGTACTCTCCAATCTTCCAGAGCGACTTACGCGATGTCTCAGTGCTAGCGATGCTCTTCGATGTGGTCTTGCCAGCGCTGACAGAGACGCCAGTTGCGGTGGCAACCTTGTACTCGCCCTGGTATAACACCATCGTGTAGGTACCGGGCTTCATCGCGGGGGACTTGAAAGCACCATTGGACGAAGCGATAGTCCAATATTGAGCTGCGGAGTTGTACCAGTGCACGACGATCTGGAAGCTGCTTGCAACACCTGAAGCGGTGCCGGAGACGTAACCACGGCCAGATTCGGCGACATAGCCGGTGACGCTCAGTCCCGAGAAGAAGGAAGTGTCAATATCGCGGAGTCTGGGGACACCAGATCGCGAAAGGGTCATAACGTAAGGTCCGTGCAGGACGTTGGTTCGGAAGGCTTCAGTCTGGACATGGCCGCTGTTCATATACCAATAGAGGTTAGTAGCCGATCCGGCGTTGTTCGATTCGATATCTCGGAAGAATGGACCGCCGGATGAGGATTCGGGGTGCGGCGCCAACACGCATACGTGAATAACGTCAGAGCCACCGTATACACACTGAGCGTCCTTGTCGATGAAACGAGTGCTGGAATAGAACTTCGATCGTGTCTCTCCGTTTACAACGAATACATCGGAACCCTCCACGGTAGAAGAGCTGCCCGCCGTAGTTGAAACTTTGCCGTAGGGGTACTCTTCGGGCAGTACAGAAGACTTCAGGCGGGCGATAAATCGTAATTCACCTATTGAAGGCTCTTCCTTGATGTAAGTAGCCAAGTATACATTGCTTTCTCCCTCCTTAACTACCATGTAATGCGTCAGGGTCGAGGTGGTGCAGGTCACCTTCACGTAGTTGACGGAACCTATATAGAAAGTAAGTAAGAGTCGAAGGCGTATATATATTTCAGATCTAATAACATACTTGCTGTGACGGATTCAACCTTGACGGTGGCGGAACCGAGACCGGATGATAATTGCGTACCACCCTCAGAAAGCTCAGTGCCACGATACTTGATCGAAGTAATATCGCAACTACCACCGTTCACCGTGAAGATTAAAGGATTGCTTGAACCAGCATCGATAACATAATTGCTGCCGGACTTGGTGAAGCCAAAGGCGGCAAACACCGAAGAGGCGAAAACGCACACGGACAGAAGGAATAAGTGAAGCATCATGTTGGGTCTATTATCTCGGGATGCAAGACTTAGACCAAGCAACAGCTACAGCTACAAGGGAGCAAAGCAAATCGCAACGAAGGAGGCTCCAATGTAGACCGGGGAGATTGACTAACTTATAGCTAGATCTATAAATTACTATTATTAATTATTACTCGCATATGAGATATATATCTTAGGATATACTAGTCCCCTCCCCTTAAAAATGCGCAAAAATACAAAACGCACTTGAATTATCTCGGTTTAGTCCAAGACCGAGGCGAAACCCTTGAATGATACACGGCCATAATTGCAAGATCTTGACGATTTTGACGGAATTAGCCATGTACATATGCGTGGAGAAGAAGAAAAAAGGAACAGGGTATCATTAAGGCGAAGGACCTCAAGCGGTTCCTGGCAGGTGATGTGCCGGCGGATTAGACAAATCGAGAAGACGGAGCAACGCTACGGGGTACGCAAAGGTCGATTTTACGCATAAAGGGACGGGATTAATGTTAGAAACCGGGCAACGCGTCCGATGGGCACATCATGATTGACGGGATTATTTAACACGAGATGCGTAAGGTAAGGTGCTGAATTAGTGTAGTTATTGGTAAAGAGAACAAGTTCATCTAATCTAGATTCTCATAGATCTATTTTGGAAGCTCGATTAACTCTAGAACATGATCATCCCGCCGGGAGCATAGATTGGATTATATTTCAAGATTAAATGGAGAAAATGGAGAAAAAAGACTGACTATTAGAACTAACTAACGATATCACTAGACGTAGAATTAGACGAACTACTAACGTTAGCCAATGCATTAACCTAACCTAACCTAAGCAATTGGCAATCTAGGAGGTAAAAGACCCTATTATTTTATTATGGAGAGCTATGTATGAGCTGAGCGCATGGACTGGACTTTTGGGTTGTTGTCCTCGTGTCGTGATGGCGTCCACAATGACGGAAATGAAAGGGTTTCGAAAGTGGAGAAGTTAAGAAGCAATGACTTTCAGGGGGAAAATACTTAGAAAGGGGGGGGAGAGAGGTAGCCACAAAGATTGAAAAGCCACAATGTGAGGTCGTTACTTAAATAGGGAGTTGGATCTTTACCTCTTCTCTCTCGACACGACACGACACGACACCTCGCAGCCCAGCCCTACATTATATATTATCCTACATACACCACCATCATAGTTGTACGCGGATACATACACCTGCTTATTATTAATATATGTAAGGGGTAAGCCCGTTTCATTCATGAATCTGAAGATCACTTGACCGCGATTGGACCGTAGTCGATATAAATAACTCTTTTCGCTATTAACCTTCCCAAATCGTGACGCGGGGTGTGCGAGCGTCAGCGAATAAAAAGTCATTCATCCATCTACTTCGACAAATCTCAAAAAAGTTCGAAATCAAGCATTTTTGCTAACCCTAATATGTACCTATGCTTGGATGCGGCTGATCGAAGGAGTGGGCCACTGTACTCAAAACATTACAAGCTAAACAACCCAAGAACTACTTAAGATACAGTAGATAGGATGTCGATTTAGTATGTATGAGAAGCTCTATTTCTATCCTATTTCTATCCTTCACTCTCGGTATTTATTACTAAAAATAGACGATGGTTGCGATATATCATGATTCTAATAATGATTCATGAACGAGTCGCGATTATATACCTAACATAGAACCTACAACGAATAGGGATTGGTATTTTCTCAATATTTTCAATGTAAAAATACATACTTTAACACTGTATATCCTACACCATGCAATATATCGCGAAGAGCCCCATTAAGCTAGTAGCTATCAGGAGCAACTGGTGCCGAGCTGAGCTACTAAAATCCTTCGTTGTTTAAACATCGTGTGGTTCTACCCTTACCTACCCTTACCTTATCCGTTCATAGCCTGACTATTCCCAGTGAAGTGATGCAATAGCCAATAGCCAATAACCAAAAACGTAAATAGAATAAGCGATAAATGTTATTTATGTGGATATACATTGGGTAGTTAGTAGAAAATACGACTATTGCTTTCGCCAGACCGTTCTTCTCACATAAACTTAGCAATAGCTATCTCTCTTTTGAGAATTTATGAAGCTTCCATCTTACTCATATCAATATATTCTGGTTTATACGATACGATTATGTCTTCCGTCGAGACTTTTACGAAGTAAAGCTTATATTCTACAGGTGAAAGTTGGCGGCACGAGGGGACGGTGATGGCATCAGCAACATCGAATCGCTAAGTTCATAGCGGCCAATGTCGGTGTATTCCCGCAGTCCACCCCCCCTTCCCCCCGGCACGGTAGCCCTGAACATAGCCCGCCTCGCAATGTCACCTTAGCTGAAGCAGGAGCTGAATCCAAATTTAGGACATACATATAAAATACTGCATTCATAAATAAATACATATATTTATATAAATATATATATATCGTCACAAACCCCGGGTTTTGATAGTTGTTGATCATTTCCTTACAGCAACAACAACAATAATAATATCGTCTCTTCTTTTTCTTCATATTGGTAATCTAGTATCTTGCAAGCTGAGTGTTTTATTTCTTTTTGAAAATGCGTCTAAACATCGCGGCAGCAGTTGCGCTGCTCGCCAACAGCGCAGTCGGCGTGGCTCTCCCGAGACAAGGCAGCGGCCGTCAAGTCTTTGCTCATTACATGGTGGGTTTGACGAGCGGACAGTCCCAGGACCAATGGCAGAAGGACATTACGGAAGCCAAGTCGGCAGGCATCGACGGCTTCGCCCTGAACATCGGATCGGCCGACTCGTGGAACGGCGAGCAGTTACAGTTGGCGTACGATACCGCCGCAGCCAACGGCTTCAGTCTGTTTCTGTCTTTCGACATGGCTGCTAGCTCCTGGAATACCGACCAGGTCATTGCGCTCGTCAACCAGTACAAGGATGCTGGTAGTCAGCTCAAGGTCAACGGAAAGCCATTCGTCTCGACTTTCGAGGGGCCTGACTGGGCTGACAACTGGGCCAACGTGCGCTCCTCTACGGGAGACATCTTTTGTAAGTGAATCATAATATTCAATAGTGTGATGATTCTCTGCCGGTGTATATTTGCTAATTTGAAATGGTATAGTGGTTCCCGACTGGTCTTCACTAGGTGCCGCTGGCGTCGGAAGCAAGCTCGACAAGATTGATGGTGCTTGTAAGTGATCTCTTCCACTTACCCACTAGCAATTACTTTGGTAGCTTACACGGTATAGTCAACTGGGGTGCGTGGCCGAACGCGAACGAAAACTCGATGAACACCGGCAACGATATTGCCTATAAGTCGTCTCTTCAGGGCAAGGCGTACATGATGGGTGTCAGCCCTTACTTCTATACTGGTATGAGTGGAAACTTATCTGGGCATAGACCCGACTCAGTTAAAGCTTGGGAACTAATTTAAACATAGATCTCCCTCAATACAACAAGAACTGGTATTCATCCAGCGACTCCCTTTGGTATGACCGTTGGGCACAAGCCTTGGAGATTCAGCCAGAATACATCGAGATTATTACCTGTAAGCATATCGCGTCTGCCAACAACTGAGGTTTCTTAGCAAGAGGCTGATTTGAATAGGGAACGACTACGGCGAGTCCAGCTACATCAACGACCCGATCGCAGCCCAGATCGTGAGCGGTGCTGAGAGTTATATCAACGGCTTCGGACACTCAGCTTTCCGTTTCGTATTGCCTTACTTCATCAGCGCCTACAAGGCTGGTAACGCAGATGTTGCCCTGCCGTCCGAGGGAGCCGTCGCATGGTACCGAACTACGCCCGCTACTATCTGCGGTGATGGCGGTAAGGAATAATCATATTCGTTGTTACTTGACGACATGTGCTAACATTTATTCGTAGGTACCGTCTGGGGCCAGGGCGGAGGTGCTTCGGCAGCAGGCGGAACGCAGGATGTTATTTCGGTTATTGCGCTATCTAACTCCTCCAAGGATATCACTATTTCTATCGGAGGCGCAAGCCAATCCGTAAGCCCATCGCGTTCCGTCGGTAAGGCTTATTTCTACCAAGTTCCCTTCGATGGAAAGACCGGTGCCGTCACTGTCACCATCGATGGCAAATCAACGACGGGACCCGAAATCTCGAACAACTGTCCCGCTACAGGACATGTAAGTCCCTTTAGTTAAAACGAAGTCATTCGAACATGCTTAACTAATAATCGAATAGGTCAACTTCAACTCCGTTGCGATCCAACTATAAGAGTTTCGTTTTGAGAGCGTACCGGCGCGAGCTTATGGCATTTTGTCTGCATTTTATCTGCATTAGATTTCGTGATATATTCTCTTCTTGTTTTGGGAAAAGTTCCTTTTCGAGCCCGTCTTGACGAGCAATGTATATATTCTTTTCAGCATGTATATCAATAGTGATACAAGTCCTTAGTCTGGTTTTTTAATACCGACTTGGAATTTTTCTGCCCATTCCGTAAACTCGTCTCTCTGGCCATCCCACGGCTTCATTAACATTTCTGATGCGGCAAATGCATCAAAGAAGCAAGAGTCCATTGTACGATCTATAGAGTTGCGATCTAACTCATAAAAGGCACAAGCGACCTCGCCAAATCGATGTGGTAGTCTTTTTAATATGGGGAATACCTCATCAAGGCGTTTTGTGACTGATAATTGCGTTGTCGTCGTGGGTAATGGTGGAATTAATTTCAGCCGCCTCTTAATGATAGCCGTATAGAGCAAAGTGGTCAACCGTAGTCGCTTCATGCAGGATTCAAGCCGGTCTCGGATTTTGTCTGGGTCGCCCCTTGGAATGTGGCGAGGATTCATAAGATCGTCGAGCATCTCCTGTGTCGAGATGTGTGTGTTTTGTATTTGGTCTGTGACGCTATTAACTCCGCCATCTTCCGCTTCGTCGGCATCGCTATCGTCATCTTCATCTTCATCAACCTCTTCACTATATTCCTTGAGCTCCTCAAGGATGTCCTGTAGCGTATCCCTATACTCTTCAACCTTTTTGACAAGTAATCCAGCAATTCCTAGCTTCTTCAGCAAGATTACGTCGTCGCAAGCAGCCCAGATAACACCTGTGGCGGCCAAGCTACCTCTGTCCCCCTTAGTCCCGTTTTTCTGTGTACCAGCCAGGATCTTCCCGTCTTGAGGTATGATTCCTATAAGACTCTTTAGCTCCTTTAGTACACGATAGCATCGCCATGCGAGATCTTGGCGGGCTACTAAGGTGTACTTGTCGGCATCGCACATCTGAACGGCAGAAGCCAGAGCTGGTATTGGACCTGCGACTAGCTCGCGGAGGACTTTGGATATAGCGGAGGGCGTGAACGGCTCATTTATAATGAGAAGAGATAGTTTGGTTGTATGGGCCTTTATTAGGGTCGCTGAGTCGTGGGCTAAGGATAGAGGATCGATTGACTCAGGAGTCGACGACGATGATGACGATGGCGGGGTAATAGTAGTAGTAATATTTGTTGTTGAAGGGACTTCGTTTACGGCTATCGAATGGAGAAGGGCTTCAAGTTGCGATATAAGATTTGTTGCGGATTGAACTGTAGATTTTAAAGCCTCAAGGGCATCGCTGGCTATACTGTTTGTCGCCATGCTCCTTCGAATTCGTTTGTTGGACAAAATGTAAATGTAAATGTTAATTAAATTCTCGATTTTTTTTTTCTTTTCTTCTTAACCTTAAGCGCGACTGCGGGACAAATAAGAAGGCGGGGTTCTATGCATTTATTTAGCTTTAATTAGGTAGTTGCCAGCTGACTTTTAGTCTCACAACTGGCAGAATCCTATATCGTGTATCTTGTACCTATCTTATACATGGAAGGTTCTTATTTCCATCACTTGTATTTCGTAAGGTACCTCCCAACATGATCTCATACGAAAGTATACAACTTCCATCTTTCCCCTTAAATCAAGAATTCCGAAAATATATTTTGTATAACACTAGATCCTCTTAAGGACCACAATGCTAGTGAAGTTTTCTACATGCCACTTGAGGCATACCTAAGACTAAACATACCTAGCGTTGATAAATACCAAGTCGATTATGTATGACGAATCTTTACGTCGTTTTTATTTCCATATGTTCGAATCATCATGGGCGCTCAGTAAGCACTTGATAGTACAGAATTGATATATGATATATTAATGATAAGCTAGGTATTGAAAATGTCTTCTTTTATTTATAATCTTGAGTAATTTAAGGTGTTCGTCTTATTAACTACCTCTATATATACCTCCATATATACCTCTATATATCTCATGATCTCCTTTCCTTAGGTTTGCCTATAACCTTTGCAGTTGTGAATTATTCTCCAAGATGCAGCCTGATATCCCCCAGCGTGAGGCCACTCACAATATCCAGGTCGGTACCTGGACAGACAATCAATTGTAATAAGTATTTCCTAACTAGAACTTACTAGCCTAGCGATGAGTGGAAGCTCGAGCAGGGCTTAGCAGGAGTAGAGTTGCATATGCTTGACCAAACGAAGCATAACGAGGTCAACGGCGATGCTACAGATTGGGAACGAGCAATCCAGCCAATTACGAAAAAGTTCGATAGTAAACTAGCTGTCGACGAATTAGTGGGCTGGGATGGGTAAGTTTATAGTTCCTCTAAATCTGGGGAAGAAAGTTGATCTGACCATATAAGTTATGTTGAATGGGAAGACTACCCGGATAAGAAGCGTAGGGCACATGAGATTCTCGTCTCTCAAACTTTCCCTCCGCCACCCGAATTCCAGTTGGCACCCATTCCTGGTACCAATCCAGTTCTTGAAGGCATGCTCTGCTCTATCTTCATATAATCCTATCACACTAATACGCTAGTATTTTTCGTTCGATAGGAATCCGCTGGAAACTATGGCATCGAGCCATTGGCGGCCGTCTAGCAGTAGTCCCAGAAGAATCCTGGGCTATTGTACTGAAAGAAAAGTCACCGGATATGCTGCATCTCCTCCAGTTCCCATACAATGGAGAACCACCTAAAAAGCTCGTAACTGCTCAGCCGGTTACACCGAATCCTCTGCACTTTATCCGCAATCACGGTGGCATCCCGTCTATCGATCCGTCTGCATGGTTCCTCCGTCTGGGCGGCCTGGTAAAGACACCTCAGAAGCTAACGTTGTCAGACCTTCAGGATGAGAGCCGGTTTCCACGCATGGAGAGGTTAGTAACTATTCAATGCAGCGGTACACGGCGCATCGAGCAGATAAGCTTGTACGCTGGCGAAGGAGACGAAATGATCAATGCTCCTTGGGCAGAGGGAGCTATCGGGACAGCAAAATACGTGGGGGTGTCACTTAAGAAGGTGATAAAACATTGCGGCGGGCTTGAAGATGGCGCGAAGCATCTAGAGCTCGTTGGTGCCGATACGTACTTCAAAACGAACGAGGTCATGAACTACGCCATCAGCGTACCTTATTCCAAGGTTAAATCTCATGAGGTTATGCTCGTTTGGGAAATGAATGGCGAGCCTCTTCCCAAGATCCACGGCGCACCGGTTAGGGCGGTGGTGATGGGCTATATAGGTGCCAGAAGTGTCAAGTGGCTATATCGCATAAACGCAATATCGGAACCGACGAAAGCCCCGGTGCAGAGCAGAGAGTACTTATACTTCAACCAGCAAGTGGGCAAGCATAACCAACGCTGGATTGATGGAATTCAGATACAAGAAATGCCCGTGAGCAGCGCTATCATGTCGCCTTGGAATAAACAGGTCGTACTACACGACGGGAAAATTGAAGTTAAAGGATGGGCATACTCAGGGGGTGGCCGTTGGCCCGAGCGAGTTGAGGTCAGCGCCGACGGTGGATTCTCGTGGTATGCCGTACCGACGGAAAATCTAAGCCCTAAGCATAAATTCGCCTGGCGTATATGGCACACGTGGTTGCCTTGCGATGTTGAGGGATGGATAGAGATTGTAGTACGGTGTTGGGATAACAGCCTTAACACACAACCGACCGAGGTTAGGAATACATGGAACTGGGGTCTGCATGTGACGAGCAGCGCTCATCGTATCAGAGTATACAGCGTGAACAATACCAAGGAAAAGACAAGAGAGAGGCTGGAAGAATTTGAAAAACGAGGTATGTCGTTCATACCTATTACACGACCGACCGAGTTTCCTCATATGACTTGGGAGGAGTATGAGGAGTATTTTAGAAAGAATGGACCTAGAGATGTGGACGAGTAGCGTGATTCTAGGTAGCTTGGTATCTAGGTGTTTAATACATGTTTGACACATGTAATGATTATAGATTCGATATGATGTTGAACTTATATATCGTTACTTTAAAGAATGACCTTGAGCCCTGGTAATATAATCGATGGATGGGTAAATGGAGGGCACATGACGTTGAAAATGAAAGCTTGTGATTAGCTGTCGATAAGGGAGGCTCGTCAGGCGGGATGGTTAACCAAAGAATCTTGGACATATATGATAACTGGTGGCTGCTTTGCTGCTTTCTGCGTAGACTACTTAGGTAGGTTAGGTAGGTAGTTACGTATAAATCGAGATGGTGTTCCCCAATATACGCGATGCTAAGTCGTGTGAGAGATGAATGGTTGAAAGAGCTTGGCACCGGCAATTCTTATTAGAATGACATCTAGATAAACGGGATTTATCCTAGGATACCGGCAGTAAATGTGCATTAGGTATATTAACTAAGTGAAAAGGTATAGACTTATAGTTTCATACACGTAGTAGTTATTAAATTGAAAATTATAACGATGCTATCCAGTAACTTGACAGAGTAAAAAGGTTGTTGAAATGGGAAAGGGACGAGCCTTATGCATGTGCCTTAAAGTTTATGTCGTGTGGTCAATTCCGAGTCTAGCTTAATCTATCTGTAGCTACCTAATGTATCTTTTGTATTATCTAAGAAGCTCGATTCGACTATCGAGACAATTGAACTTAGCACTATTGTGATTTTTCGCGGGGGGTATGTGGGGCTACTAAATGATACATTCAGGTACCAACTGTACCTAACCTAAAAGTACCGAGGAAAGTGCGGTACCTCCTTAGTAACCTATAGTAAAAGTACGAAATACATCGACAACAATCGCGCACCCCCCCACCTCCAAACATTACTTCATCATAAACCATTTCCAAGTTCGCCTTTTCATTCAGTTATCCTCGGAGTCGGATCATTTATTCTATTACCTTTTAGTTGGCTACCTAGGACGGCGTAGTGGAAAATAGGTCTAGCGTGACTATTTTTCAATGCTCAGTTCAAGATATAATCTAACACTTTTGATCATTCGTTTTTCTTTTCCTTAAGAGGGAATAAAGAGGTGACCGAAACCGAAGCCTTCGTTCGTTCCCCCAGCTTAGACAATCTCACAAATCTTCCGAAGTCCAGACAAGAGAGCCGACAAGAGAGCCCAAGAGTTCCAGCTCTTACCTAGCGCGTCACACGACAGTCATTTACGGGACTTTAAACCTAGCGATAACCGACTTGTCTTAAGGTCTAAAGTCTAAGGTCTAAGGTCTTCTTGGTCGACATCTCCAAGCCAAGCTAAAAAGGTAACCAGTTCAGCCCAGCCCAGTCCAGCCAACCCTGTGCCTAGAATATATCCTACAATACACACCCGCGCATTCATCTATACACATTCCTGGGGTCCCCGTCCAATATCGACGCCTATCTATCATTCGTTCGATATTCAGCCATTGTTTGCTACACCAACACATAGAGTCGAATCAGTTGTTGAATCCTAGTTCAGTGACGCATCAAAAAGTCTTTGGTATCCTCGAACGGTTTCCTAGTCAATATTACTGGATACTCTCGAAATCATGCGTTGCTAGTACTACCACTGACGACATCCACCTTTGGCTTGGAAGTAGGCTGACTTTCGTCCTGGCGTATGTATTTGTGATGGCCGTCAGCCCACAGACCAGCTATCTGCGTGTCTCTTTCTGCTTACCATATTTTATCTCTAGAGCTATATCCTAACAGTTCGATAGGATAGTATATGATAAATCCCATCCTACTTATTTGCAATCATCAATTGCAATATTAATATACGGACGAGATTTCGCGGGTTTTCAACTTCCTCATCAGTCCAATACTCAACATTCTGCATGCCGATAAACTAAGCCCCCGCTGGTCATTTGTGACCGTAGTCCTTACGCCCCTCTGCCGATCCCCATCGTGCGAAGATCATCGGACTATATATTTACACACATTGCATCGTCAGTCGAGGGATCCCGGCGCATCTATAAAAAAAGTATGGGCAACACACATACGAAAGATGCGAGGGGCGGCACTCGTATGGGAGCTCATGGAACCCGTGGGGATGCTGGTGGAAGTTCTACCGGTGCCGGCTACCATGGAGAGCTCCCTGATCGATCGAGACGTGCTAGTCGACCAGACTTGAGCGGCATAGGCCTATCCTTCGGTGGCTCTTCGAGCTCGCGTCAACCAGATGCCCCTTTTGAACATCGAGAGACAAAGCAGGAGAAGGAAGCTCGGAGGTTGGAGCGAGAACGAGCTATCCGGATTAAGGAGCGCGAGCGTAGTATGAAAGAGGAAAACGTAGACGGGGGCTACCTAGTGACAATGGGTGTATACACCGCCTCCGAGGACTTTAGCAAACCTGTAGTACGCCAATTACAGGTAAGCAATGTTGTTCCTGCCGGCCGGCCCGGGTCAATTGCCAGTCTCTAGCTAATCTAATACCGAATGTGATAGATCGAGAGAAAGATAGCGCCGTTCTGGCGTGGACTGGATGATTTTAACGAGAACTGGGCCGAACACCAGATAATCGCCGCGGCTCGCGGTCTTGAGATCCCTCCCGCTGACGAAGTCCCCGAGCATCTCATCCCGCAGCCTAGGTCAGCAGATTCCCCCGGTACTTCGACGCAGAACCTTACCGTTCCGATGGGCCCTCGGACCCTTTCAATCCCCTCTGACAACCCTGGTTCAAACCCGGGCTCAGCTTTGCCTTCTCCTACATCCCCCAGTATCCCGAGAACCAGCTCACCCTTCAAACCTCATAAAAAATCTCTGGCAGCAGCTCTTAACATATCTCGAAATAGTTCACATACGGATATTATTACACCACGCGAGATTAACTTACCCCACGACCCATTCGTCAACGGTCAACCCCTAGAGGTTTTTCTATACAAGGAGGGAATTGAGTGCCCCCTCTGTCTTATGTACTATCCCCCATACCTCAACCGTACTCGCTGCTGCTGCCAAATTATTTGCAGCGAATGTTTCGTTCAGATCAAACGTCCTGATCCGCATCTACCCGAACACCATGCCGACGAGGAAGGAGGTCAGGCGCCGCCCAACCCCGAGGAGCATGAAGGCGAACTTATTATGGAGCCGGCCAGATGTCCATACTGCACCCAGATGGAGTTTGGCGTGACATACGAGCCTCCCCCTTTCCGTCGCGGATTAACGTACGCATTCAATAGTACTACATTAGGTGCTATGAGCACGGCTATGTCGTCTTCGAGTTCTCTCAATTCAAGCCTTTCGCCACCGGTGACTACATCTGCTAATGCCAGCCGCCGGCGAACGCAGAGTATTTCTGCCAACGCGCCGGGAGTTATCACCACTGACCGTATCCGGCCCGACTGGTCTACGAAACTAGCCGCGGCTCGTGCACAACAACGTCGGAGGGCAGCAGCCGCAGATGCTTTACATCATGCTGCTTTTGTAATGGGAAATCAAGAGCCCCGTACGATCTTTGGTCGGTCATCTCGCTTTAGTCGTAGAAATGCAGGGAACAATAGGGGAAACGAGAGTCCAGGCAATAGTTCCAATCTCCAACCAAACGATGGCGGGGCTGATGTTCCCTCGGGTCCCGAGCCAGGGCCTCGCGCTCTCCCAAGCCGAGCTGCCCCGAACCGGGAACGGATAGATGCCGCACACCTCGAAAACCTTATGATGGCAGAGGCGATAAGGTTAAGCCTAGCAGATGAGGAGGAGCGACAAAAGAAAGCAGATAAAGAAGCTCGTAAAGAGGCAAAAAAGCGAGAAAAAGAGGAACGCAAGTCTGCGAAAAAGAAGGGGGACGTGTATGGAGGCGGTGGTAGTAGTGCAAGCGCGAGCTCTCTTAGTCTAGGATTCGGGCGAAAGCGAGGCAATAGTGCTACCAGCAACTTGCGCACGGAAACCAGCGTAGCTGCTCAAGCCAATAGCGGAGCTACGAGCCCAGTCTTCAACCCTGGTTCGAATTCACCGTCGAACAGCAAAGGAAAAGCAGTCGATCGTAGTGAAAATGAAGATGGACAATCAAGCGGTTCTGGTGTCGCGTCTCTACCGATTCCCGTTCCTTCGCAGCCTTCCCGAGGATCGTCTCATCTCCGTCAGATGAGCAACGCCAGCTCTGTCAGCTCTAGTGGGGTTGAAAGTACACCGGCTAGTTATACAGGTATGCATCTCAATGCCGACGGCGAAGATCCCCGATCCAGCGGCCTTAGCTTGGCTGCGCGCAGTGAGGAGGGTGATAACGCGAACTCGGAACCCATGTTTAACTTTAGAAGCTTAGCGGAGATGGTTGGCGTTCCCCTTGACGGCGAAGCCCAGTCACCCGGAAGCGAAGATGCGAGCCCGGGAAGTAAATCAGCGGAGGCCGAAGAAGCTCATGGCGAACATATAGAACATATCGCAGATCATCCGGCCAAAGAGGAAGGAGATAAGAAAGAAAGTTTACTCAAACTTGATACCCGCAAAAGCACCCAAAACGTGGAAGAAGAGAAGGGAGAAACTACTACTCCGCCGCAATTGATGATCACTCCCGAGACCCCAGCACCTACTGGCGATGACGACGGGGATTCTAAGCAAATCGGACATGTTAGTATGGCGGATAAGCCGCAAGAAGTCGCTCAATAAAGATTTTTTCGCCATCGTTTAATTTTCGCTGCAGAGGCGGCTTCCGGTCAGGGTGATAAATGGGACTGAAGATCATGGATATCTGCATTAACGGGGAGGCAGGCACTGTTGACTTTCTCTAGTTCGGAGTTAAGGATTGTATACATAGATGATGGTTGGCATTCACAAGCGATATAAGTTAATTCCCCTGAACCAGATCGATGAAGTATAAGGGGGCTTAATCCCCCTATTGAAGCAAATATGTCTCAGCGCGATTCTGTTTTCTCTTATGTACTAAGCCTTGTCGCAAATGATAGTTGATATCGCCATAACATCAAGTGGCATCTCTGGCTATACTGACCTGGAAGAGCTAACTTAGATTTAAGAAGTAAATAGAACCACTCATAAGTAGGACATGTCTTAACCTTTACACAGGTAGCTAGTCAAGTGTCTACCTAACATTGTGTGTAATAGATTGCAAAGATCACAACGCCTCGACGGGTGTCAAAGCCCAATCATTATACATGTTTATAGAACTGTTAAAGTTCCATATATCATATTAACCCCGCGCGAATTTCCGTGCCGAAAGATTTTCGTGCATTATAATAGGTATATTTGTATAGGTAGTTACATCCTAAATAACGGATAACGGTAACTCCTCAATGTTCACGCTCACATTAGATTTGGCGGCATATTTGACAAGAATCCCGTCGTTTGGCGTCACGCCAACATCAGCAGGCTTTCTCGCATTGACGAAGCCAGGTTCGGGACTAGTCCAGCTATAGTCCTTCCACTGGCCCAAGACCTTCCACATCTTTTCTACTACCCCTTGAATCTTCTGGCGGCGATCCAAGCTCCATTGTCTTCGTTTCAACTGCTCGACATCGGAAGTCTCCGGTTCGAGACCCTCTACTACACTCTGAAATACGCGGCATGTTTCTTCTAACTCAGGAATGCTCGAGATACCCATGACGCTTACGCCGACCCGATCCCCAGCTGGTAGCTTTCGTATACGACCACCTTTAGATGCGCCGATTCTTGACCAGTTGTCTAATGCCCACCGGATAGCGACAACCTCTAATTTCTCATCCGCATCTGCCGCGATAGATACCAAATCCTGGCATGTTTTTCTCAATCCCTCCGGGCTCGGATGCCACGAGGCTAAGGGACCGGTAGCTGCGCCTCTCGTAGTTAGCAGGCCCATGTTAAGCATGCTAGCATTGAGGACGACGTCGACTCCCGCACTCTCAAACCGAGTCAAAGCGGAAGTACCCAATGTCGTGTTCTGTATGGTATAATGACCGTAACTCAGTACAGCATCGAGAGGCTCTCCCGTCTCAAGGAGAATCATCTCAGCGAGGGCGCATAGCTTCTCGACGGGATAACCGCTGATTCCAACATAACGGATAATACCCTCGGCGCGTAGGCGACGCAGCTCGCGTACGGCGGCTAGCACCTCAGGGGGCGAGACGAATTCGACATCATGCATATAAACCAAGTCTAGATAACTAGTGTGTAGACGCTCTAGACTTCGCAGCACCGAGTACCGAACCCAGGTGGGGCTATAGTCGAAGACGTCAGAGGCGATACGGCCGGCTTTAGTAACGAGGAAGTAGGAGGAGCGAGGATATGTCATGGCGACGGAGGGATGAGCTAGGGCATCACCCAAGATTAACTCCGATGGTCCATAGTATGGTGACGTGTCGAAAGCGCGGACGCCGAGGTCGAGCGCACGCGATACAATAGAAATAGCTGGTAGATCGTAGGGGTTTGGAACATATTGGGTGTTGAAGGTAGCGGTGCCTAGGATTAGAGGAGGGATGGAATCGTGGAGGGGCCGGCGCGGCGGGTTAGAGTCCGGGGGAAGGGAACCCATTATGAAAGTGCGGTTTCTCTCTATCTGTCTAGAGTAATATAATGTATACCGTATACGGGCAATGAGGCTACGTATGATGAAGAACGAGAGGTAGGGAGTTGGTGATAGATGAATATGAAGGGGATATTAGATATTAAGGGGGGAGTATTTAGACACTATACTAGCTAGAGGTATCTCAAGATTAGAAATAGAATCGAGGGATTTTCAGGGTCCCGGCAGGTGAAAGTGGGGGATGAATTAGACTATACAATAAACTAGTGTAAGAGGTAAGAGGTTGGCTTGGTTGTTTTTGAGTGTTAGGTAGTTGGATGTAAGGTATATAATTCTATCGATCATCATCATCATCATCTTAGTTGTCTTGGAAATGAAAACCTCCTAACATACCATCCTACGTAATAAAAAATAAAAATAAAATATTGAGTCATTTACGAACAAGACCGGCTAGAAGCCAAGATGGAATTTTGCTTATTCTGCAAGCGGTCCCAAGACGGGGAAGAAGTGTCAATGCTCCATACACTTACAAATGTATAGACGTAATACCAACTAAGGTTGTCTCACATGAAATCGATATATGTTAAGAGTTCTTCCATGTCTTTCCGATCAAAGCCGATCCCGATAGGAAAGGAGATATCGGAAAATCTAGAATATCGAAGAGTATCTAATGCAAGATAAGAAAAAAAGAGAATCACGTCATCCAAGTTCTTTCTCCTCCCTTGACTCGACTTAATCTGCATGCGGTTAACCATGTGGCGCCGCTACTGTGCCACTACACCACTGCGGTATCTACCGAGACGAGAATAGTTTGAGCGCAGCCACTTCTTAGAACTGAAGACAACCATGTGATTATGCATTTCTTAGGAGATAGGAGATTAAAACGAAATATCCTTCAAGCTTTACCTATCTGTTTCGTTAGTATATATTACGAAATCCTAGATAAGTGAAAGTCTATGAAGACCGAGAAACGAGATGTGTGAATCTATAATACATATTTTTATCACTGTAAAAAAAAAAAGATGAAGTAAACCAAACTTATACGAATACTTACGACTTAGCACATTTATAAAGTCAAAATATTAAAAACTCATCTTTAATGTAGATAAGCCTTTATACTCTTATAAATAAAGTCGCCTATAAACCATGCCTTGTCACATGTTCAAGTTGTTTGGAAATATTGAAGCTTCAGCCCTCCGGGGATCCTCCGGGACGATCGCCTCTACTTTATAAGTTAAAATCGTTGGAATGCCGGACTAGCTGGTATTGCCTCGGGTCAATAGGCGGCGGCATGACAGATCGGCAGCATGAACCTTGCCTTTCTCGGTCAGAACGTTTGGTATAAGAAGATTCATCTCGGCAAATTGGCGCGATGCATATGCGCCGTGGCTCGTTTAACCGCCTCAACCTAGTACTCGGCGGTACTCACCGACTTTACCAGGTTCTACGTGAATTTATCTAGACGATACCTTCATGTAGAATTTAAACTGGTCCTTTTATCGTGTTCGATCAGGTTCCGCTTTCAGCCCTCCCTATATTGGATACGAGCTAAGCTTTGTAGTAGATTGACGCCTAACATACTATTACCAGCACCGGCAGTGTTTACCGGTTTCCGATGGGCTTAGATATGCTACAGGCATCATCACATAGTATGATGTAGTTAGTACGTTGAATGTTGATAATATTATAACGCTGCTGGTCTGGAACGCTACTGAGTGTCATGACTAGATTTCGCGATCTCACAGTTTGAGCCCCAAGATTATCTGTTGAGAGGAGCCACTTGGATGTCTATAGATATAGAACCAACCTATTATTATCTGACATTGCATTGCTTAACACTTTGTTTTTCATAATACTATTTGGTTATAAGGAATGGGAGGATGAAATTCATCCTCGTATGGATTTAATGTAAACCCGGTTGTATTAGGTACTTATTAGGGATATAAGATCTCTGTCTACTCTACTAGGTAGAACTGGGATTATGACGTGTAATCATCTACTGTCGTAGTGACTTTATGTTGGCCTTCGATATAATAACCCTTAGCTTAAACTACGCTCATAGCTCTTTATCCTCCGATTGATATCAGCATTAACCTAGCATTATGTTTATGTTCCTGATGTCATGCTGCGACAGTATGAGGCGAAGGAGATCAGTCATTTTATATACCTATTATTTATGTATCTAGGACACATATCGCGGATGCCTTTGTTATGTTATTCCAGGCTAAATTGTCGACTTGGAGTAACCCAGGTTAAGAAGTTGATTTCCATGTGGGGACTTAAGGGTATAGAACATCTTCGATAAAGACATGCCTATTTTGATTCGACAATTAGGGAAGATCGTCTAAACCCTTTCGCGAATAATTTATTGGCAGAAATTCTGAGCGGAACGTAGTGGTAAAGTAAAACCATTTGAAGATTCAGCCTAATGTCGCCTCCGGGAATCCTTGCCAGGTGTCCGAAAGACCCAATCAAGTGAAGGGTAAAACTAATTCGTTCTTCTTATGACATAGATATGCAGGGACGAACGCCTCTTGGCCTCTTCTCACTACTACGTGGGCACATGCTATTATAAGACTACAACTGTGTCTTTTCCTAACTCGGGCTATTGTAACTAGGCGACCCCACGCGGAGTGACGAATTCCATTCCCGAAGTTTGATGGCAGAATGGTGAATTCTACGGTATACAACATACCACATTTAGAAAACATGTCCTTGGCGCTGAAAGTTGTTCCGGTTCTGGCCAATCTGCCATTTATGCCACGTTAGCTTCAGCCGCGCTAAGAGGTGTTGACCCCTTCAAGCGGATGTAGCAAGGGGCAACGATGAACCCCCTTGATCTTACATCATGAATAGCGTCCGACATGGTATCTTAGATGGTACCTTGATATGCAGAGGTACTATATTGGCCTACCCGTATTGGCCGGTCCGGAGACAGCTCTCCAAATTAATTTCCCTCGGTTGAAGCCATGTCCTGTATGTGGCGACGCTGTTGACGTTTGTTGATATAAAGGGAGGGTGCTCCTTTCTAGATACTCGTGCCGGCTCATTGGTTATTTTGGTCTATTCAACACCTCTCTAAAAATACAATCATGAAGTGGTCCGCAGTCACCGCTGGTGTTATTGGCCTTGCTGGGTCTGGTAAGTAGAGCTGTCCAGTCCTAATAGAAAGTAAAAGTGGATGAACCCAGTACTAACAGTACCGCAGCTCTCGCCCAGGTGGACTCGAGTCCATTCATCGACGCTGACACTGGAATAACCTTTCAGTCTTACACAAGCACGGACGGTATTACTTACCGACTGGCTCTTCCGGCAGAGGCAACCGGCGATGCTGGCTATGATGTGATCCTCCAGGTCGTGGCGCCAGTGGAGTTAGGCTGGGCCGGATGGGCATGGGGCGGTGCTATGACATACAACCCCCTAACTCTCGTATGGCACGACGGAGACAGTGTTCAATTTTCCTCCCGCCAAGCTACGTGAGTGAAGCCTCTAATTATATGAACAATTCAGTTCTCAAACATTCTCTGACTAATAAACGTAGGGGATACTATTTACCTGGTGCATACGAGGATGCTAAGTACACGGTCCTTAAGGGCACTGGAGTCAACGAGACGCACTTCAAATTCACGGCACTTTGCACAGGTTGTGCTAGCTGGACCGACTTTGACGGGAACCCATACATCCTCAACGGTGCCGCAGACACCAACTTCGCCTATGCCTTCTCGGCGACCGCAGTCGAGGAGCCGGCAAACTCTGAGACGGGCTTCAGCATTCACGACAACGTGGGACGATGGATTCACGACCTAGGTGGCGCTCGATCTGACAAGTTTAAGGAGTGGGTGACGACCAACACCGTTGCGTAGGTGAAGATAGCTCGAATAGTTAATGAAGTAACTTGAACTTATAATTAGAGCAGTACGGTGCTAGAGCTATAAGATTCGAAGTATTCGTTAGGTATCATGGGCGTAGCTTATATTAGACAGGTATGGCTATGGCTTGTTGGGTTTAGGGGGGGAAATGAATAGACAACAAATAAATCCAAAATATGAAAAGCCCGTTATCGAATGAAGAGTGAAAATGATGCGATAGCCAGGGCTAATAATTGATTTAGAGATGATATTAGATGATATATTAGGAGGTAGGTAGTCTCATCATTGTGTATTGGATTGGTTGATGTAAGGGGATACTTTACTTACCCGTATATATGATGATAAGAAGTAATTCCATTTATAAGGTATTATTTACTTACGGAGTAGATCTGGGGGCTCCTTCGATGCTGGCTAAAATTATTTTTTTTAGCAGGTACAAATAGGTACAAGGTACATGTACTTACCTACATGGATGGACCTATTCTTTTTTTATTTTTTATTTTTTATTTTTATTTTTATTTTCTAGTTTGTAACATCGAAAATGTACATCGTCATTCTTGATATCTTCAATGTTTCTTCAACATGGATGTTGCTACCAATGTCTAATGTGCCTCACCTACCTTTCGCTTTAGACTAAGCGGTAGAGATATCTTAGCAACTTAATGTAAATATTCAATAGCCATTATGGCTCCCGCAAGGAAATCAAAAACAAACCAACCTCCATCACCATCCCGAACCTTGGTTCTCGATAATGGCGCCTACACTATAAAGGCTGGATATGTAGTGGATGATGTCGTAGATGAGCCTCGCATAATACCGAATTGCATCGCCCGAGATCGCAACAAGAAGATCTATATTGCTTCCGATATTAATAAATGTACCGACTTCAGCGAGATCGCTTTTAGGCGACCAGTTGAGAAAGGCTTCGTCGTGAACTGGGAGACTGAGAAAGAGATATGGGAACACGAATTCTTTGATGACAAGTCTCCTCAACCCTGCGATCCCTCAGAGACTCGGTTACTACTTACCGAACCGTCAAACTCCCTTCCTATACTACAGACAAATTGCGATCAAATGGTATTTGAGGAATTTGGGTTTGCTAGCTATTACCGAGGAATTGGTATGTCGCGGTCGTCTTGTCGTCTTGTCGTCTTCTGTAAGCTGTTGAAGATGATCCGTAGCTGATAACCATTATCTTAGGTCCGTCTCTCAATGCCTATCACGACGTGCAAGGTATCCTTCGAACACCGCGAGACCCAGGAACTATTGCTCAGCTTCCTGCCGAGATTTTACTCCTTATCGACACCGGATATTCTCATACCACTGTTACACCCCTTCTCCAAGGCAGACCTATCCATCCTGCTATCCGAAGATTAGATGTTGGAGGTAAACTCTTAACTAATTACTTGACGCGGTTGCTTTCGCTTCGTCATTACGACATGCGTAACGAAACCTACATTGTGAATGAGATGAAGGAGGCTGCCTGCTATGTTTCCCTCGATTATAAGGGAGATCATGAACGTACATGGAAGGGCACAAGAGGTGAACGTCGGGATACCTATATTAATGGTGGAGGGATAGCTAAAGATTACGTGCTCCCCGATTTCCATACGATAACTAAGGGTATCCTCCGGGATTTCGATCCTCTTCGCGCCTCAAAGGCTCGAAAACTAGCGGCTGGGCGTGCTGGAGAGTCCAATGAGGATGTGTTAACTCTCCGTAACGAACGCTTCTCTGTTCCGGAATTGCTATTCCATCCTTCAGATATTGGTATCCGCCAGCCAGGTATTGCGGATCTCGTCATGCAATCTCTACGCGTTCTACCTATCGGATTGTGGCCTGGTCTCCTTGCCAATATCATCGTTGTCGGCGGCAACTCTCTTTTTGACGGATTTGTTGAGCGACTACAAAAAGAAATCGTGCAGCTCGCTCCCGATGAATGCTTCGTCCGGGTTGCTCGCCCTGTAGATCCGATAATTAGTACATGGCTAGGCGGTGCTAATCTAGCCAAGCATGAGAACATCAACGCGTTATCTGTTACAAAGCAAGAGTATGATGAGTTCGGTGCGGCGTGGGTTGCGCGCAAGTTCTCCACCGGCTTAGAGTTATGATTTGCCTCGAGACAGAATTCACTTCCAGAATATTTGAGCCTCACGCACTGATTTACGTCACAGATGACAATATCGAGCCGTCTTGGCTCTAACATATCGCTCGCCTGCCGACACTATTTTGGGCCTTTTAAACCAGGTAATTTTACGTATGAAAGATATTAACCCATATGATATAAGATATAAGGTCAAACAACCAAGTCGAAATGCACATTGATAGGAGGAACACGCAGTAATAGATTTACTGAATAAAACTAAATCTGCTCATTCATAACTGAGTTGGGTATCATCTTGGCCCTCGAACTCGATGGGCACGCAAGAGAAATAATTGCAAGGCCATATGTCATGTCGTTGATCACGCCTTACCGCAACTAATATCAACGATACACACCCAACCGACCGTACCAAACATAGGAGTGGCAATGGAGTAGAGAACCCGTAACGCCGCCAATAACCATGGAAACCTAGGCCACGAACAGTCAAAGATCATAGTCGTAATAGGTAGCAGATTAATCATAATAGAATACTCGATGGTTCATAATCGAGTACTTATACCTCTAAATGGGGTTCGCCGTTAATACATCTCGCGGGATCGGCGACCGCTTCTCCTCGAGCACCCTGTGAATAAATGATTTGTTAGTTAACTCACGAACTACGCATTACGAGAATGGATAATCATACAATCGCACTAAAGTTCAAAATTAGCTTAACTCAGAGGAACCTGCGAGGACAAGAGACATACCAGCGTGAGTGTAGAACCTTCATAGTGGATGATGCAGTACCCGCCACCACAAGCTCTGCAAAGCTTCTGAGTATTGGCGATGCAATCTAGACACTAGAATTCAAGAGTAAGTATAATTGGTCCTATGTAAGGGGAGAATATGGAATTCCACATACGTTGTGTTCGCACTCCCAACAACTTCGTTTGATCTTAGGGATCTCGGGATTCTAGAGTCAGCAGCATTAGCAAGGGGACTTCGTAGAGCTTCCGCACAACGAGAATCTTAAGGAGAGATATATTTGCGTCTGGGGATTATCGCCGCATACAATTTCCGGGGATGACCGAAAGCAGTTGATATCCACTCTCGCTATCCCTACACGAACTAGGGTCATGGGATAATAGTATATTTCTCGCCTGTATGGCCGCTTCGCAACCACTCAGGGCGGAAAGGGGTTCCGAACTTCTGGATTTGCCTCCGCGGATGTTAGGTAGCAATTAGGACAGTAACCCTTCCGTACCTTAACGTTAGACGGCTCAAGAGCTGCCGATTCATGCTCCGTTATGCCGTTGGTCTGACCGACGATGTGCACGAGCTGGCCACTTATCTCTTGACGGCTTGGTACTTGGTAGCAGGCTTCGCACCACCACTGGTCGCAGCTGAAGCAGTACCGTTCGCGAATGCATTCTAGACATCTCGGGATGAACTTATGCGCTCCCTCTGTCCCCTCGGATCTAAAGTCGGACTTCGGGCACGTTGCTGCTTTGATAGTCGACGAATGAAGCGGAATAGGTGCCAATAGAGGTAATTCCTCCGACGGTGAGTCCCCATAGACCGTAAACCCCTCCGGTGCGGTTCCGCAGGACGCACATCCGCCGAGTGCGAAGGTAGCAACATTCCATGGGCTCTCGTTGCTAGACGCTGTTCCGCGCGGCGTAACTGGTACCTTTCCAAAGGCGGATGAATTCTGATGACGAGGACTTGTACAGAGTACAGCATCAAATTTGATCACTTGCCGACAGTAAAGGATTGTCTCAGCCCAGCCGTCCGCGATGTGTTTTCCTATAATGCGGCCCTTCTTATGGTACCAATCGTCTCCTTCACTCTGGATAGACTCGTTCAGCGCATGTTGAGACTTGTGATTCCAGCCAATACTAATCTTAGCACCTCTTCGGGCGGTGCCATGCTGTCTAGCGACTAACGGGATAGGTATCGCGGGAACGTCCTTCGTTCCAAATACGTATAATGCCTTCAATCGAGGCGTTTCATCGGGCCGGGTAGATCGACAAGCGTAGCGCAAGCTTTGCATCAGCTTGCGTTCGTTGAGGTTCTTCACATCGCGGATGGACAGAATGCGTATACGCAAGGTGGGGTCAACAAGGATGTCGTTACAGAACTCGGCGGTAACGGAGAGGCCGTCGAGGACGAGGGTTTGGACTTGGTGTAAAATGTCGTGTCGACGGATGCTGCGGAAGATAGTTCGTAGAGGACCCGAGTAGAAATCGTCTTCAGTTATGTTCTCGTCAATCTGGGCGTTAGGCCAGATCTCATTGCCATGATCGATCTTAACTCGGGTTAGGTCGAGATGTCGGAAGACGCCGGGGGTGCGGTATAAAAGTAGATCGCGAAATGACGGCGAAGTCGAGGCAAGGTTGAGAATACTCGAGATAGGTAGGTATGGAATAGTTTGGTGTAAGACGAGGGAGTTGGTGAGTAGGTCTAATAAGGGATTGGAGTCCGTAAAGGCGTTGTTAGATGAGACGCGCGCGTGTTGTTGGACGATGGCTCCAGATGCCATTACATGCAGACAGACCAGCTGCTAGTTAAAAGAAGAAGAAAAAAAGAGAGACAAACGATAAGACGACGAGTCAGTGGGAAATAATTAAGTTAAGGTTTCGTGATTTAGATTAAATAAAGAAGAGATGTGAAAGATAAGTAGGTTGGTAGTATATAAAAAAAAGGTAAGTGGATTCTAGGGAGTCGAGCAGTCTCTTGTCTTGGTCTTGTCTCAAGGTTGAAGAGGGTATACCTAAAATAGATAGTTCTTGATCCAATAACTATATGTATATAGACTATGTGTAGACTATATGCAGATAAGTCTACCCAACTTGAATAGGAGACCTTGAGTAAATTGATGTTGAGAGATAAAATAGATAGATCTGCTTGCTTCTTACTCTACCTTGTAAGACAAATATACTGCATATCGAATAGACATGCCTAGCATACCCCCTGGACGTCTTAAACAGAGAGAGGGGATACGATGAGGTGTTTTTTTTTCTTCTTTCTAAACCATTTCTTTATTATTTGCCTCGTCTCCATCACCAAGACCGTCGTATATGATTAGGCATATCAAAAAGCATTGGTAAAGGCTTCTTCATTAAAATAGCTGCACTATTGCGTATCCCCTTGGCTGGCATAAGACAGCAACTCCATAACTTTCTGTATTAGTACATAAGGCTTAACGTCATTCATTAACATAATAGGAAAAGGTTTTATGATTAGTCTCTAAAACCGCAACCTATAAATATTATTGGTTGATTTAGTACCGCACGAGCGTTTCTTTCTTTTCTAGCCAATCCGTATGTATTGATACTGAAAGTTATGGAGTTGCTGTCTTATGCCAGCCAAGGGGATAGTTTGGGTAACGATGGCAATATTCTTGGGGTTTTGCCTTTCCTTGGCAAGTTGAGCCGAGAGCGTCGCATCGCATTGCAGATATGCAGGATAATAGACTGTAACTGGCCCTTGGAGTGCATGTCAAGGGGGGGAGAAAGTAAGCTACCACTACTACTTATGATGATTGTTGAGGCCAGCGCAGCATCAAGCTATAGCTCACTCTCGAATCTAGACTTTACACTTTGGGAACATGGAAACTTGGGTAGCACTGAATGTCTGCCTGTCGATGCGGGGGAACGAATACTTTAATATATGTGTAGATAATGTATGGTAGTGCGTAATGTGTTATATGTAATACCTCTTTTGTTAGTGGGACTCTTCATAGAGTCGGTCAGCAATTTGTTGTTTAAATACGGAATAAATCCAGTCTTGAATGAGATCGTCATTATCAACCATCTCACCATCGTGCTTGGCTCTTGCTTGGCTCCCCTAAGATTCAAAGTCGGATCCGTCTTGGAACTCTTGGCTGTGTATTCCGTAGCCAGTCTAACCCTTTAGTGCGTAGAAATGCAATATACAACTTTAGCCGTTGTCTGACAATGTTTATTGTTTTTTTGCATAAGTCGTAACTGCGACGAAGTGATGCGGGAAAATAGAAACTAAGACATGTTTTCAATAAATATACGCAATAGTCTTGGCTGTGTTTACCTATACTTGTTGTTTCCGTTATCAGAGAGAAAAGTTCATTGGCCAAGTTGATAGTTGACTTTCTATAAGAGAATCCGGCTTATTTTTATTGGTATGACAGCGTGGATAATGCTTGTTAGTAACTCAATCTTGTGACTTTAGTTTGACAAATAAAAGGAGACTCGGACTTAATATTTATATTAGTTTAGCATTCTAACTGCCTATACAACCTTTTACAACACCCAACTTACCTACACGACTTACATGTAATAGGCATTAATGTAATTTGCTTAGGTACGATTAAGTAGTTATACAAGTGTGACATATACATAGCAACCTAGGTAGAAGGAGTCCACTTTCAATAAAAGACATCAACTTCTCAAGTCAATGCGCGCTGCCGTATTTGTATTTTACACGTTGAGGAGTCTTTTTTTGCGCGCTAAACGACGGAGATACCGATACGTATAAGTATATTTTTGATTAGTAGCCCCGGAGTCGCGTCGGCAATCTACGGAGTGACTCTCCGTCTACTTTTAATTTATAATAAAATTTAATGAGCGGGGCAAGTACCTTGAAAGTACCTACTAATATTAGAGCGGAAGCTGCGTCATGGAACTTTACGGAAATGGCTGACTGATTTTCGTCATTTTCAAATCCATTTTCAAATCCTTCTTTATTCACGCCTACAGTCTACAGCTTACAGCCTACTGCCTACTGCCTACAAGCGCACGATGATTTCCTCCCCACAACTTCATTTCTTATCAGGGCGTTTTTAAAACCCCGTCTGACCGTCGCCCCATTATACTCACTCCTGTCCTGTCACTTCTAATTATTCCCCTTGTTTCTTCAGGGATGTCTTTCTCAGTTTATAATCTAGCTTCCCCCGAAACTTGTACAATACAAAACGACGTCGGACCAACTACATAGATATTGTATAATTCCACTATAATTCAAGATGGAAGAACAACCTGTGATCAAGTGGTCAGCAACTTTGAATGTTGCCTCGCCAGTTACATACTCTTCTAAAGATTTGAATGGCGACAAGATTATCCTCCCTCAATCTGCTCTCGAGCAGCTACTTGCCGCTTCAACTTCGTCTTCCGTCTCAACCTCGGCCTCGGCTACGAATCCCCTTCGGAACTCATATACTTCGACATCCTCTCGAGCCCCATATGCCTTCGGTGGTGACCCGTATCAACAACTACCTAGCCCTCTCATGTTCCGACTCGTTAATCCTTCGAATAACAACGCAGTTTATGCCGGCATACGAGAGTTTTCTGCGCAGGAGGGTGAGGTACTGTTAAGTCCGTATCTATTAGAGGCTCTAGGGATCGAATTGGGCAAGGGGATACCCGAAGATGTCCCTAATGCTTCTGATGATGAGGCCGCGGTACCCCAAATAACTATTCATGCCAAACCTCTACCGAAAGGCACCTACGTTCGTCTACGACCGCTGGAGGCTGGCTACAACCCTGACGACTGGAAGGCGCTTCTAGAGAGACAGTTACGCGAAAGTTTTACAACCCTCACGAACGGCGCTATCTTATCAGTCTCAGGGGGTAAAAGTGAAGTATTCCGGCTGCTGATCGATGGGTTTCGGCCTGAGGGGGATGGTATATGTGTAGTGAATACGGACCTTGAAGTCGATATCGAGGCCCTAGACGAGGAGCAGGCGAGAGAAACTATGAGACGGATCATGGCTAAACAGCAAAGGGCACCTGGAACCTCGGGTGGTAGTTCGGTCGGCCAAGAGCTCAATATCTGGAAATCAGTTAGCGGCCAAGTCCTCCCTGGGGACTATGTAGACTACGAGCTACCCTCATGGGCTCGATCGAGGATTCTCGAAATTGAGATTAGCGAGCTGCAAGACGAGTACGGCGTAGACCTGTTTGTAAGCCCTAAATCTACGCGACAGAGGGCGCTACCTCGCCAATCAGAGCATGTCTTCGGTGTCTTCAACTATACAGAAGATGGTAGTAAGCGCATATGTATTGAGCCTACTAATGTCGAACTCGAGAACGCCGAAAGTGTGCTTATCTCAGTTCACGGATATTTGCCTGAGTCGACATCTACCGAGCCAACTGATCTCTCCCCTCGGCCATTTAAGTTGAGGATTAAGAACGCGATGACGGTAGAAAGGGCCGCAACACCCGGTTCGATGGACGTGGAAATACAAGAGAGATCTCCAGATGAAGAACAATGCAAGAATTGCCTTCAGTGGGTTCCTAAACGCACCATGATTCTACACGAGAACTTTTGCCTTCGTAACAACATTTCGTGTCCCCAGTGTCATAATGTCTTCCAGAAGGCGTCAGACGAATGGAATAACCACTGGCATTGCCCCCACGATGAATCATATGGCTCCTCGGACATCACGAAAGCGAAGCATGATGGCATTTACCATACCGAGCGACAATGTCCATCCTGTCCGTTCTCAACCAATTCTATTCCCGACCTTGCGCGTCATCGCACCACCCTCTGTCCCGGCAAGATTATTTTATGCGAATTCTGCCATCTTGAGGTTTGCCAAGAAGGCGACCCGTTCAATCCATCCGCGGAGATGCTTCACACGGGACTCACGGAGCATGAGCTTGTTGACGGCGCAAGGACTACGGATTGCCATCTATGCTCGAAGATAATCCGGCTACGCGATATGTCGACTCATTTAAAGTATCACGAGTTAGAGAAGGCGCACCGACTGAAGCCTCCTATTTGTCGGAATGCTAATTGCGGACGGACCCAACATGGTGTCGGCAAGAATGGTGCTGTCAACGCTGGCACCAAAATGGGTCAAGGTCCCGGGAATGACATCGGATTATGTTCATTGTGCTTTTCGCCACTCTATGTGAGCTTGTACGATCCCGAGGGCAAGGCTCTGAAGCGACGCATCGAACGTCGGTACTTGACGCAGATGATGCAGGGCTGCGGGAAAAGGTGGTGTGCCAACGAGTGGTGTAAGACAGGCCGTGCAAACTTGAAGCTAGAGCCTAAGCCGTCTACCGCGCAACTTGCGCTGCCCCAGATTAAACCTCTTGTAGAGTCAGTTCGTGACGTACAGACACCTATGTACTTTTGTGTTGACGAAGCAAACCAACGTAGGAGAAAGCTAGCTGAGATGTTGGCAGCGGAGGATGATTGGGATCTGGAATGGTGCATTGCAGCTTGTGAAGCTGAGGGTGCTAATTTGGATATGGCAAGGGGCTGGCTTATCAACTGGGCACCGTCGAAAGAATGAAGTAATGAGCGATGGCATAGAGCATATAATGGGATATAGCATATGGCATACGGCATAAATGGCGTTGGAAGACGGTCGGCATAATGATACCCATATGCAAGCATGATAGAACAATGGTTTTTCAAGGAGTGTATATTTCTCGTGTGATGCAACTGGTTAATCTGCTACCAGACTCAACGAGCCCCGTACAAAGTAAACACCATCCTCCTTAATGTATATGTCTCCCCCTTGTCTGCAAATTCATCCTGATTATCTCTCCTGAGCCATGTTGGTCGGGTCGAATGTTGCCACAGTTTAGTGAGACTAGAAACAATGTAAGTATATGAGAAGGGTCTTTTTCGAGAGTTCGTCATCAGCTACTTACGCAGCAAGAGCAGGAGTTGCTATAATCATATAGGTTAGCTTCAAGCTTCAAGCTTCAGAAGATGATGGTAGTTATTTGAAAGGGGACCGGAAGCTTACCAGTCAGCGCAAGAGCAAGTAGCGCATCCACAAGTAGCGGGCTCCATTTTGAATGTTGGTTGGGTTTTGGTTTGGGTTAAGCTAAAGCTTATAGATAATTGTCAAGATTGTTTTGGTGTTTGAGGTCTTGTTGTACGATGATGATGTTGCTATCGAATTATCAAAAAAGGGGGAGCTTGATGGCCTTAAATATTCGTTTAAGCTGCAAGACATAGCTACAGACGGATCCCTTAGAGTCGTCTTCACCCTCCTTTACAGCTATCTACGTACATGATTATCATATTGGGGGTTAGTGAGTTGGCGCTTTACGCGGCGTGGATAGCTTTGCCTTGTTCATCACATGCTGACCATCCATTAGATCGTGATACCGAATAGGATTCATATTAGTGCGGGGGGGTAATACAATGTTGGAGTCGTGCAACCCCAGTTAATGTCCATTGATCGGCAGGGATGTCAAGATAGCTTCACTAACACTTTCTCGAGCTTCTGCTCGGTATAGTATCTACATTTTCGGAAGCTGAATAGGGGGGAAAGCTTCTAAAGATAGCCCCAGCGCGTATATAGTATATACTTCTTTCCCTATTCGAATTCGATTCCATAGTCATCAACCGAAGCTACTTCCATTGACCCATCTGTTAAGCATAGCTTGCAACTTCTAGGTGCCTTCTCCCCACCCTTCTTCCCATCCCTTAGCTAACCGGCTTGTACGCTAAGCCAGTCCGCCCCGAATCGTCGAGTGGGATTTGCCACACCAGCGAACAAAGGCGTGGGAGCTTCTGTTGATCAAGGCTGTAGGCGAATGGTCAGGTGCGGTACCCGATAACTGCTGTTTGGTCGGACTGCTCCGAGTTCTGCCTCCTTCTGGAGACTCACAGGCTTAATCTGCAGGCGATATACACCATCGGGACCGGTCTGGTCCGTAAATTCGATAACAAGGCACCCGCGCGCGCTCCTAATCGGCTCGAGCCCGCTTGACTAATAGGAAGGAATATAACTATCGATATCAGAACTAGGACTCGGTTTAGTCCAATGAGCTAGTTCTATTGTGAATCAATGCCAACATCTATTCCTACATGCTACTTCCGTGTCGAATCAAATACCCTGTATGTATTCCTAGCGAGACAGTCTGGTTGTGAGGCTGCGTGGGCTGGCTTAATACGAACGGGGCTTGCTCCGGGCTTTTCGATTTCATACTGTATGCTGTGTCCGAAGTCTCACGGTAATGATCAACTACTCCCAACCCGCACCAATCCAGATTTGATATGGACTGGGTTGGGTTGGTAACTTAATTAAGAAGTTGCAAATAGGATCCTTATACTATTGACTTGTATATAGCATTAAGTTTCATTACTATTATATCTACCTAGGTAGGCAACAATTAATTGCTTCTCTAAGAATAAGAACTACAGTCAGTAGTCACAGTGCTTCAATAAATACGCCACGTGCGCTAAATTATGCCGTTGAAACCACGCGAGTTGTGAGACTATGTTCTTCCGAAGCGGGTCTTACGTTGAAGAATCGAAACGTAAAGACCTACATAGTATAAGCGTAACAAGTCAACGCCGGTACCCCCTACAGAGTTTAGCCAAGTGACGAGATGAAAGTCAAGACAAATAGATACAAGTGACTCATACCGTGCAAGAATTAAATAACTCATATATAAATGCTACTATTCCAGAATTTAGCTAATGCCAACTCTAGAACGACCGAGTTTAAAGAAGAAAGTGGGAGAGGGTGTAGGAGAATAACAACATCCTAGCCCTAAATTATAACATACGTTAGATCTATACGTAAAATGCATGACTAACATTTCTTTGCCGTAGACGCATCGTTTGCTATTTATTACCAATTACCAATTCAATGATAGGTAGCCAATGCAGCGGCGTGCGGGAAGCCTTGGCGGCAAGGGATAATCTAGATTTAATGTGCAGTAGTAGGCTGCAAGGACCCAAGGACCCTAGAAATGGAATACATACCTACCTGGTATCCATATAGAAAGCTATGGTGGACCTGCAAGGGGCTGCGTGTAACGTCAACGTGAACGGAAAACATAATAGTCGGAGCAGCCCGTTTATAACTTTACTGAGTTTTTATATTGATACTCTTGTTTACAGTACGGAATGGTATTAGGAATAACATCTCAAGCCGCGGAGACACTTGAACAGAACACATAGTACCAGTAAAATGCTTTCTTGGACAATATAGGGGAATACGATAATAAGCTAGGTATGGAGTTGGAAACTGACGTTTAAATATTTAATGAAGCATTTATACATGTAAAGTAACGAAGCTAAATTATTTTCATGAAGTGATGGATTTCTATAAACTCCTATTACGACGATATCAAAAGTAAGAGCATGGAAATGCGTGCTTTAGGTATTGAGTAACCGTTATAATCCACGATCTCATCATCTCATATCGTAAGGCGTAGCAATTTTCCTGGATTAACCGAGGCGAGAGATATCGTATCTTATATAGACTTCAGTAACATTCTCAACCTCCTATTACACTTACTCCTTAGATAGACACTTCATAAATTCCGAAGACTTTGGTACTTAAACTAGAAAGATCTAGTATCCAGACGAGATGTTTCAATAATGCTTTATTAATTCTTTCGGGATGATGGAAATATCTTACAACTCTACCGCATTCATCAGTTATACGTCGGGTCACTGCGTAAGCTCCGATATAATACTCGCAGTAGCTATTTTCTTAAGAAATTAACCTATATCTTAACCCTATCACAGTACTGTCTTTGTATATTTTCGACAAATTCATCGTAGTCGAGAAGTTCCTTGATACGGATCCGTCGGTGTCTCTACTGTAAGAGTTCGAACAAAACGGGGAGGTCCATGAAACCACCGTTTTCTGACAACGTGTAGGAGTCGTATAGGCTAGCATGTATGAGATATGCGGACTTCCTCGGACTGTCCTCACTTGCACACAGTGTGTTATCGTGGATTTCCTAGTTGTGAGTCAGTTACTTCGGATCACAAGGTTCACTGGCTCCTGGCGGCATCCCGCCCATGCTCACACGGCAAAGCCGAGCGGCAAGATATAACATATTGCTCATAACATATAGCTAGATCTGCTGATTCTAGTCTGACTGATAACGCGGGATGTTTTCCAGGGGGCTTGTAGATAGCTGGAAAGGGCCGGCTCAAAGATGTCGATGTGGGATGGACTAGGTCAGAATCCAGAAGTTGTGACTGTTTCGGGCTGTTTAGTTCGCATGTGGCAAGGTTATGTAACGTTTTATCGGTCGTATTCCTTTTCTTACGTTATTGTCGCGCGAGAATCCCGAAGACGGCTTGTTAGTAGTGTCACTAACACATCGAGAGTGAGAACACTCCTTTTATTAGAAGTAACAAAATGATTTTTTTTTCCCCATATTGATTGAAATTATTCCATTTGTGAAAAGAGAGAGATAGATGAAGGAGGATGGAGAAGGAAACTGTCAGGGTTTAAGAATTCATGGCGCTGGCCATCAAGGTTCTACATCTACCCCCTGGAAATCTACCAAAGACGGTACAGCACCAGTTTATTGCCGCAAAATTAGCACGAATACCAAGGCAGAGGTCATAGATAGTTGGTCTAGGTCAGAATATACAGATTAACATATCAAGGCATACAACTGACTTGTTGACGTCGCTCAAACATAGGTCACTTGTTAAGATATCAAACCATTCTATATGTCCGTAATCGCGGCCACATTCTCCACAGCTGTATTAATAGTCTTACGTACCTAATAGTACAATATATTGGAAATATTAATGACCAATCGCTTGAAATTCCCCCCACGTATTACGCATAGAATGAAGGCCCTCAGCCCCTAACACTACCATGATGCAGTCACCAGATCCAGTTAGGTTAGTCCTAGTTCACACTGGTTTATGTCGTTAGAGATAGCATTCAGATGGAATATCTTAGAATTGGAAAGAAGTTGATTGCAATTGCATAGGTTATTGCTAGGCGCCCACGGGGGTTGGGCTGAAAAGGAATACCAGCTTTGTAACGAAAGAAAGGTGTGAACCCCCCATTGAAAGATACTAAAACATCAAAATAACTTTGCAAAAGCGTGCTAACAATATAACTATATAAAAGGAATATCATAGTATAGCAAACACAAACGTTAAAATATATTCCTAACGTGCTATTAGCATGTCTCTCGCCGCCTCAAGCCTCGAACAAAGAATCCAGGCTCTCAGCAATACGCCGCCGTTCGAGGGACTTGATTGTTGCTTAAAGTCTTACTAAATTAAATCTAGATGCTTCCCCACGACATCGATTCAACTCTAAAAAAAAAAAAAAGAAGGAGACCTTTCTTCGCAGGATGTTGCCCGAAACTTATCTGGTTTAACAAAAGTTCAGACTCACATACGACCTTAACTAGCCAATATAAGTCTCTTGTCGATTAAAGGCTTGCTAGCAGCTGTCTTATTGTCGCGTGCAGCCAGCATGTCCGTATAAATTTTATACTTGGAACATGCTATTCGCGACAATTAAAAGCAAGCTGGCTGTTAGTCTATTCATTCGAGGTCCAGTTTTGTTAATTTAACTAAAGTACCTATTTACTAGATTTAGGCCTAATATATTTGTATTCAATCGATTACTCCGGTACCCTTACGAGTGAATAGGCGAGTATCTCAACGCACGATACAGGCCCCGACGTATGACAAGTTTACCCCTTTAGGTACGATTGCTTTACACCCCATAGCGATTGTTAAGAATCAAGTCTTCAGACTATGTTATTCTATAAATCCGTAGGTCGGGTAGAATAATAGCACAATCATGCTACCCTAGACCCCCTTTCATGTTCGATTTGCTTGTCTTGCTAGCTTTACCATCACTTACCTCCTAAGTACCTAGGTAGTCTTTATATAAGGCGAGGAAGAGATATCAATCAACCCAGCTCAGTAATTTAACCACGCCCTTGGGCAAAGTGCAATCTAACTGTATAAGATACATTCCCACAGCAAGTTAAGTTGGTGAGTGAGGTAGTAGTCCTATTACGCTACAATTATAGTAACTCCTGCATTTTTGAACCCATATCACTATAACGATTTATCCCCTCATCAACTCTGCCTTTGGACACCTTTCTATGGTCTATCAATCTACGCCCCTATTGACTTTCTATTTGAAATATATTTCTTATAGCCTGTCGAAGAAAACTCATAGCTCCTACCCAGGTACTGTCGGTCAGCAGGCTTCGCATAAATATGATATACAGATCAAAACTTAGCACTCATAGAGTCCAGAATCTTCACTTGTATAGAATCTGTCTAATCTGTCTCTACAGGTGCCTCTGCTATTAGTGGCTTTCTCTATTTTTTTTTCGAAGGAATCTTCTTAGGAGGAGGATTTCTGATGGGAGTGCTCTCGCCTATTAACCAACCGTAGGGCTTAAGTATTTTAACAGAGACTCTTCTGCAATATGCGTGCGTCGAATAGTTTATTCTCCCTAGAGGCGTCTTGCTACATCGGCAACGCGCCATCCCTAATCTTAGTAGCCAGCACCGCCATACCCCTTGAATGAGGAACATCGTTCTCAAACGCAGTTATCCACGAGCGCACTACTATGACGAAGTCGTGGATAGTGATAAAGGGTTGTGTTCTCCACTCCCTTCGACCAGACACGACGGCGCACGACCTTGTAGATCAGGCTGGTCTTCGATACAGCATTCTACAAGCTTCTGTCGTTTCCCTCGTCCACGCATACGGCAGATTGCTCTCATGGGGGCGATGTGCCTCAACCCACATCCAATCCCAGTCGTCCGAGTCCCTGATAGTTACTCTGATGGATAAAACAGGTGGCTCCATGATGCTTGATAACGAAATATCATGCTCCTGGATGCGTACGCCTTCTTCGCCATCATGGGACTCCGTTATGAATGTGGTTATGTAAGGGAGCTAGACCGAGGTAGAGTCAGTTACATCTTTAAGTACGTGAATAGATGACTCGATTAGGTCATTAAAGTATCAGCATGGGCGGGGAAGGTGAATTGATGCGGTAACACTTTGGTGAACCTCTTGCAGTGCTTCATGCAATACGAGAATTTTTGTCAGGCGGGAGTAGGTTACCAGAACAAGAAAGATTTGACTGTAAACCTGACCACTCTTTAAACGTTGTCTCAGCAAACTTAGATCACAGTATTCGAGAGTTTATACGAATTGTGGTCTGAGAACGCTATGGGGTCGATAGGGGTATGAGACACAAGTCCAAAGATGTGATGTACACTCCTCAATAACTTTACAGAGAGCTATTAAAAAATAAATCTATGAGTACTTAGAGGTAGAGAGCTTTTTATTTTAGTTACAAGTGCTTTTCTAATTATATTTTAGACTTTTTCTGTAAAATTATTAAGGAGTGTACATCGCATCTTTTGACTTGTGCATCCTTACTTCAGACCACGATTCGCATGGAATCTGGAATACTGCGGTCTGAGCCTCCTGAAATAACCCCTGTATAATAATTAATAAAACATATAAGTCTTGTCAGTATATTATATGCATTTGAATTAAGATATAACTTTTATTATAACCATTTATTTGGTTAAAGCTCTCGAGGCTGCCATATGTTAATACGGGCGCTGCGTCGACACCTGTCCTTATCCAGTGCCCACGGCTCGATGATCAAACGCTCAAATCCCTCTACGGCTTTCATCGCCTTAACGTTTCCACTTGGTGCTCCTGGCTGGCTTAGCTGAAGATGTCTCGGGATATTCCACAGTCGTTTCATCTAGAGCCCATTGTACTACGACGCGCTGGCGTGCTGCACATACTGGATAATGGTCCTGTTGCGTGTGACTCGATGATAGCTCAGTATTGTTATAATATGTAGCCTCAAGACTGAATAAGCCTGAATCCTCTGCCGTCTTTTAGGATCCCTGATTGTATAAGCCCTTTTCGGGCTGCTCGCGTCGCTTCTAATAAAGCTACACAGCCTTGATATACCTATCAAACCACTAGCCTTTAAATTCTATATATTCAATCCAAGTTACTTACTTACTTTACTACTTGGGGTCTTCAAGCAGTTGAAATGCCTCATCGAAGCCGTGGTCGCACAGGTGGAGGCGTACAACCACATCTTCCGAATAGTTTCGTCAAAATCCGGTGCAGTCACCAAGCTTCCAGATCCGGTAGGCTCGAAGTAGCGCCGCTTCTCATCCCCCTTGCTCCGCGATTGTCAAGTTACCGCCTCCGGAGCCTTTTCCAGCGAGCGCGAAAAGACGCCCAAGCTGTCCAGGTCTAGAGCAGCGGCTGAGGTCTCAAGCCACGGCCTCAGCATCTTGACATAGGCCGCGGGGCTTCGTACCTCAAGCATTTAAAGCTTCGATCTACAAAGAAGTCTGCGTAAAAACAATTTATTCAGTATATATGTCATATTCATCCCTTTACATAATGCCAGTAGAGGCCGGCTCTTAACTCAATGTTAACTCATTCTGGAAGTTCTTTAATTAGAGGATAGTAGCTTCAAAAGGCCCTAAACTTCATTTTAGACCAGTTAGGTTGGCTTGGTATAGAAATTAAATACAGAATGTTGTTACTCATGCCGCGGCCACTGCGTGTTCTTGAACGCGCCGTAACAGGTCTTTCAATGCCGGCATTGGCTTCCCCTCAGCTGCGCCATAGGAAATACAAGCCTGCAAATGTTCCCGACCCTGGGACTTTAACTTCTCACCATGATGATAGCGATTGAACGCTTGTAAGTCGAACGGAATCATAAGCTTCTCCCACCCCACCAGCGCAGCGGCGAGTCCAGCTTCAGTCGTCGCGCTAGCAGCCTGCTTACCCAGCTCTCCATGGATGTTGAGCTCCTGGATTTCCCTCACTGATGCGACTACGTGACTCCATAGTTCCTCTCTCTCGATGTCTTGAAATTTAGGCCAACCCATCAATTCACATGCCGCAAATACGGGAAATAGGGGATTTATAGCAACGGCGCATTCTAATGCGGGCTTGACGGCGCAGGTTGAAATACCGTTAGCATTGTAGATCTTCGCAAACCCATTTGCAACGGCAGGAGAGCTATCGTCGACGGTGAAACCATCCTCTAGCTTGTCCGTGTAGGCAAAGTCGGCCTTTGCGATCAGACTTGGATCCACTGGAGGCTCTACTGGTAGAGTCAATGCCTTCGTGGAGTAGGCATGAATATCGAGATGCCCGTTGGTTACTTGTTCTTCCGCTAGCCCCGAGACCTGAAGGAACCAAGAGCGTAAGTCAAAGAATATAGCACCAAGAACGATCTTTGTATTCGTCCCGCGTGTGGCATTGCCTATGGTCTTTACTAAGTCCACACCTGCCTCGTTCCGCATAGAGGCACCATCGAGTGCAATAACAATATAGTCATAGTTCGATCCAGCTATTAGTAACGGGTTCGTAATGTAGCTATAACCCTTATACTCTTTCAACTTGTTATCATCATAACAATAGAGTATCTGAGGATTATCCAACGCCTTGGCGCGATGTGGGCGGATGAGGAATGTAACGTCGACTCCCGCGAGACCAAGGTGATAACCGGTGAGAATTCCCATGGACCCAGCACCGATAATCAGAATTCGGGGTTTTCGATCTTCGGACATTTTGATTGTACAGAAAACTTCGGATGAATAATATTTTTGAGTAGAAAAGATTCGGGGAGGTAAGTGCAGTGGCTTAGTGCTGATGCTGTCTGCTCGATGATAGAGAATAGAGTCTTATATATCAATATTCTGCACAATCAATGCTTACATATCGGTAATTTTCAGTTTGTTACCTCGGCGACTTTTTTCATCTTGTACTCGGAATACTTACCCAAATAAGTATCAGTCGGGGCTGGATTAGCCCATATATAACAATGACTCACAGGGGAACCATGATATGAAATTATTAGTGTTGGCTTTCGTCTCCCAACACCAGAGAGTGCTGCGCTTTAATCAAGAAATCAGGCAAGACTAAGGAATGTCTCCGAGAAAATAAGGAGGTTATTCCGACCCTTGAAAATTACTATAATAGGTATAGATTTTAGCGCTGTTTTAAAATACTTTGAAATAAGAAAGAAGCCTACCCGTTCGGAAGTACCTTAGATCAATTATTAGTAGTAAGTTGTCCCAAGTAAACATGCGACCTTGAATACCTAAGTTGGTTATTTGATATTTGCCCATTCGGCTAGCCTCCACCATATCAATCCAATCTCGGCCAGAGTTCAAGTCCGCATCGCATGTCTAGACTGGTATCTAAAATGGTTACTTATTGGGGTTATATCAACTAGGCTAAACATGGAACTATTTATGGGCTTGAGTGGAAATATGTGACGGTTGGATAGTGAAGGGCAGATAACGGGGATGCCTGTTTGGGTAGATTTTAAATGTAAGATATCACGACAGATTGTATATAACAAAACGATAATGATGTTGCCTGTCGTAATAGGCGTACATTTAGGTAAATTCCATTAAATACCCGTCTCACAAAGGCGATATGAGTGGTGTATATTATCATCAGCAGTGTAAATAAAATACTATTACGCTCGTTATGAGGAATAAGAATATAATGGCCTGCTAACGCACCTGGTAAAATATAAATTCGGGTTTAGGATTCTATGTGGTTATACCTTGTAATCCAGGAATTAACGTAATATCTTTATCTTCGTTGAATACACTTGTTAGGTACGGATAGGTTATCACATCATATATTGTTCTTTGTCTGATGTTCACTTGACAATGACCCATTAGTAAGTTCATGCAAAATCATGGGCTATGTTTCAGGGCTGTTTATAAGACCATAATACACATGGTAATCCTATACGCTTCATATACATGAGATATAAGATCTTATGTGTCTAGGTAGGTAAGTAGTTTCCGTTCACCTTTCGAAAGACTTTGTACTCCTGTGAACCGTTCGAAACATGGCTTCAGAGTACAGAAGTCCAGGGTATCGAGAAAGCCAGCGGCTATACTATTATGGCTACTTTCGCGTGCGTACATAGTCTATTCTTCAAAGTTTATAATAGAGAATTGATACTGAGCGACCTCTTTCTTCTCGATATGAATATATCTTCTGAGTCTTTGCAAGCGAGATTTGCTGACCACTTATCACTTTCTCATTCTCATAATAAAAAGTATGACCTCGCGAAAGTGTTGGTAAAATCATAAATACTCCTAAGAACTTTAGAGATAGCCATGCCTACCTAGATATTTACCTACCTACCTTATATAGAACTATCAGATACACCCAGTTAATGCGCCGCATCGGCAATATATCTCTGAGAGCCCCAAGCAGGGGTGCCCTGTTCAGTGCTTATCCGTTCCTACATCAACCACTAAAACGAGCCATCTAGAAATCGGACCTGTAGAAGACGCCATGGGGTTACAAAATGTCTCTATTGATTATCTTACTTATTTTATTCTTCAAGCACGTTAGGAGGTAGTTTTCTCTTTCTTTACCCCGCGTATCAACTTTATATTGAGATAGCTATAGATGTAAGTATAAGCGTTTTATTATTCAAGTATAAACACACGTCTAAGGTTAGCAAGCATCTGATTCAAAAATATCATATTTATACTTCTTATATCATCCACATTTCGAAAACATGGCACCTCTTAGCCAAGTAGAGAAAGATGCACTCATCTCCAAAGTTTTAGGAGAGCTTTCAGGGACACCTTATGCTTGCTCTTCGCTGACGCACTTAACAAACGGAACTACTAACTTTGTATTTCGTGGGAAGTTAGCCCATCCCATCCGTGCAGATGGAGGTGACCAAAGTACCGCCACGACCGTTATCATCAAACACTCGACGGAATTTGTTGCCGTCAACAAGGACTTTCCCCTAGATCCGTCACGTGCTGTATGTATTTTTCGCCCCTATATGAAGTCCATATTAATCAGAAGATAATAATTAATAAATGATTGACCCCATATTACCTAGTTTTACGAAGAGTCCATGCTTTATGCTCTAAACAACTTCCCATCTAGCACGACGATCGTGAAGACTCCACGGCTCCACCTCTTCATCCGTGATGCAAATATCCAGGTATTGGAAGATTTCCCTACAGCGGTTGATTTAAAGAATATACTGGTGTCACCAACTGCGAATAGCATCCTCACGGCGCCGGTGGCAGCGTCCATCGGTTACGATGTGGGGTCCTGGTTGCGCTCATTCCATACATGGGCCTCTTCCTCGAACGCTGAGTTGAAGGCTATCGGCGATAATGAACCCATGAGGAAGTTAAAATACGCTATTACATATGATAGCTTTTTAAAAGTACTTGAAAATAACTTTCCTGATCTTCTAGAGGGACACCGGTCGACTCTAGAACAAGTCAAAGATGCTGCGACAAACGAGTTTCAAAAGATATCCGGAGATGGAGATGAGGGTGAGCACTGGGGACTCATACATGGTGACTTTTGGACGGGGAAGTATGCATATGCTTCTTTCTTTGCTCTCAGTTCCCAGCAGGATGAATACCTAAGTGTCTAGACTAACATAGCTAGTGTTCTACTCCCGAGTAATCCGTCGCTAAGCACTAAACATCTAAGCGGCGCCAAACTCTTCATCGTCGATTGGGAATTTGCTCAGTTCGGTCATCGCGCATATGATATCGGACAGATGGTCAGTGATATCTACGAGCGGAAGCATTTCTTCCAAACTGACGGTGCCGTACCTGTGATTGAGGGGTTCATCCAAGGGTATGGAGGGTTAGATGACGAGCTCGCCTTCCGCACTGCCATCCACGCAGGAGTTCAACTGATCGGCTGGTATACCAGGCGAGCCCCAACTGCTCCTCTACAGTTCCCCTTGGAGAGGGTTACCGATGCGATGAGGATTGGGAGGGACTGGATTCTGAAGGGATGGCAGAAGGACCGAGATTATTTTCAGAGAAGTCCCTTGGCATCTTTGTTCAAGACGTTTTGAATGTAATATCAAGTATTACACTGACACATGATAGACTTATCGATGTTTAATTCAACTCCTAGCTATCATATACATATGTTTATGATGATCGTGGCGTATCAGACTTTTACGGGCCATCTATAGGTTTCAAGAGGCGTCGCCTCAAACAATATTAAGAAGAACCAAGAAAGCCCCTCGATTAGAAACCTGTATTCTCAAGGCAATTTTAGATAGTATTGATACCGAGATACGGCAAAATTTACCCTATCAAAACTCCGACACTATGGCTTCAGAACAGGAACCTCGTGAATACCAGGCCGACTACCCCCCAGAATCTTATCTTGCTTTTATATCCTATGTGCTATTAGACTTATAGCACATATTTCTTAAAACCGCAGACTGATCCGTCGCTATCCCGTCTCTCCACCCCACCGGACAGCACAACTCCATCTCTTCCCTGTGCTAATGTCGAAATGGATCTCATTACCTTTCCGTAATCTCCCAGGAACCGATGAGCGCGGATATCATCTCCACGTACCACGCCGTGGCCGAGCGCGACCACCCAAATGCCCCCAATGTCCAAGGCATGGGCCTCAGCGTTGCAATCCGGCTGTAAGAGTACAGAGTAAATGGCTCCGGAGTAAACGATGACCTGGGCGTGTTCCAACCCAAGCAAGAAATTTGCAGGGAATATCCATTCGGCAGTCAAACTATCTATCCGGATTGGGTGCCAAGGTGTGATGACAAGGTCGGCAATTCTGCACATGGCGGTCCTATGGACGATCGTCTTCACTACAGCTGCAACGCGTCTGCTTCCAACGGGTGTGCGTACATGTGAGCCCTTACGTAGGTTACGAACGGGTACCTTTCGACCGCTAGCCAGCGTAACTTTGCTCGAACCTGTGAAGCAAGGCGCGCAACTCGAATTGAGCTGTGACATATTCAGGTGTCTAGTCGTGGCAACTCTGGGACAGGACTGTGTCGGCGGTGGTATGGTATCGAAGGCTTTATCAAGAGCATCTCTACATTTAGTGAAGAACGAGTTCTGGTTATACATCAAGGGGCCGGGATCCTTAAAGGAGTTACACCTAGATGACAGGGTTAGCAGACATCGTAAATATGTAATAAAGGTCTTCCTCTTCTTTTTTCTCTCTTTCTTATTATGACCTCTAATAAGGAGGACTTACAGCTGCTTCGTGTGCGCATTCCACAGACTAAAGAAATAGTGGCATCCCCATCGACTGAAAAAGTCTTGGCTGGATAGAGCTACATTTACTTGACCGGACGAGAGGTCACCGACGAGATCTGCCATTAGAGATCTATTGTATTCGTCGTCAAAGAGTCTAGCAGGGATGTTATCCAACAGCCTTTGGAACGTTATCTGGTGGCGCCGTGGATTGATGTCCTTGCGAGTCTCGTATTCGCCATCACTCTGAAGTGGGAATAAGGATGAGAGGAATTCGCATATCATTGATCGACTCTGGTGGTACGCAATTTGAGGCTCGGAGAGGACTTGTGCGTTAGTCGTAGCGCTGTTGGCCAGGACACAAAATTCTGCGACTCTCATCCGCGAGTATCTAAGCTCTCCTGTGATGTTAGCTTCTTTCATGGAGGAGCTGAACCTGGTCCTGCAACCCTGGCTGTCGACGCTTTCTAGATATATATCTCGAGATTGGCCGTATTGTAAGTTTCCTAGCTTTATGACAAGTCTATTAGAGTCCGCTTCCTCTTGCTCCTGTCTGTCAATGACCTTGCCCGCTGTCGTTCTCAAGCGAGTGCCTTTCGGGCTAGTGAGTTCAAGCGTACATCCCGTTGCGTACGTCGTCTGAAGATGAGCAACCGCATGGACAAAAACGGTTCCCTATATATTGTTAGCTAGCGTCGAGTAAGTGAATGAAATGCTCATACTATCATGCCGGCGTCAGGAATGAAAGAATAGTTGCCGCCACCAATCTCTCCAATAGACTTCAGCAGCCCAGATCTTATCTCGTAGCCAAAACCGAATGTATGAAGTGTTGCGGGGAGAACCTCCCAGGTGCTGCGTATCTTATGAACGTAACCTTGGCCAGGACACCTGCGAGAAATATAAGTAAGAGTAATCACAGCGGCGGGATATCTCAGAAGTACATGTAATTCGGCAATCCATCCGTCAGTATCATGACAGCGGGTACGCGCCCAGTATTCTGCTCTCCGTCGAAAAGATTGATCCCTTCCCGGATTCCGTGCCAGAGGTTTGTTATACTGTCAGCCCTCATTGCCTCGATGTTCTTATGGGTTAACTTTTTATTCTTAGATGTCATTGACAATAGTTTCTGGACCACCTATTCTCGACCCAAGCTTGATTAGTAGAGACACACCACACACCGCCTGGTATGTAAGGAACCTACCCGTGCTTCTCTGCTGAAAGTCACAATACCAAGCCTATCACCCTCATCTAGCGTGCTTAGAATCGTACGTGCGGCATGCTTTACCATGTCAAGGATCGATAAGCCAAAATGCTCAGAACTTAACCGCCCGTCATCATCAACCATCTTTGCAGTGGTCGGCGCTTGCATACTCCCAGAAACATCTATGACCAGTACGATATCACAGGGGATATGTTTGAGTTTACTATCTGTTGGCTCGTTAGGCGGCTGCACTCGAACTATCAAACCGTCGTGCGATGGTAAAGCATGTATTTCCAAAGCTGCATCCTCTGCCATCGGGGGAATGGGTTGCGTGGAGTGCTCCAAGGAGTACTCTGGGGAGTATTCACCCATCGTAGGTGTAAATTCTTGTCTGCGAACCTGAAGATCTTGTTAAAATGTATTGTTGTCACTTGATATGGATATTTACCATAGTGGGTGTAATGGTTTTGAGAGCTGATGAAGTAGTTCTTATATCAGTCTATACAATCGAACTATATTCCTAGAAGCTAATATTGCCAACTGATAATAACAAAGGAGAGCTCGTTCTAGTAAATCTTGCTTTCATGGACGTTGCAAAAACTTAGTTATATGCAGGAAAATGAATCACGAGAAGAATATTTCATGAGTATGAGTTTATAACTCCCTCTTTGTTTGCTTGCATCCACACAAAAGGCAACGCCGAGGCGGCGATGAGGCAGTGAGGCAGCTAACGTCATTATAAAACTCCTTGACCTTCCTTACATGAGTAGCTCAGGGGGAGCCTTTAGATTAGCTCAACTGCCGATTCTGGATGTATCCAGTCTTCTTATTCGTCCGTGGCCCATTGTCCAAATCATCTAATAGTGGACTCTGCCGGGGATGAACGAAGCTTTAACGTGGCTTATACCGCGCTATATAACCTATATAACCTACTAGTTAAGGAGAACAAATAAGCAAACAAACAGACTTTGAGCGTGTATTATTAGTATATTAGTTAGATTTTAAATATATATATATTTTTTTGGTATATATGATTATATTAAAATAATAAACTATTTTAACCCATCTTTATCTGTAACTAGTATAACTATAAGAAATAATTACAGTCTTCTTTTCTTAAGAAGCAGGGGCCTCCGGCATGTTGCGAGCTGGGGGGTCTCAGCCCAGAATTGTGGATAATACCAAGTGGTTCGGCTTTGACGAAGTGATTTAGCGTCGAACCGAAACGATTTTTCTAGGTAGGTGAGGTAAAATAGATACTTAGGAGATGGAATATTGAAGGAAGCAAACTATATATGTGAAACCATAAAAGACCTAACACCAGTTGAGTTGTTAAATTTTCCGGATCTCTAATAAGCTGATTGGCGAGATTAATAAGTTAAAGATGCAACTAGTTAATGCTGTGCCACCTATGCTTAGAAGGATCTGGCTTGGACCAGACAACCAGATCTTAAATGCCTGTCATTGATATATTTTTTACACTTGTCACCTCGCTAATCTTATATCAATACCGCTGGATTGGTAAATAACATAAAAAATTGGTAACATGTTTTAGTAATTCCGCCAAGAATGCTGTCAAAGTCTGTACATAGTACCCACGAATTATCACTTGGACAATGGACAACTTAAGTCATCGTATCTTATAATAATGGAACATGAGATGGAATTGGTATGTATTAACAAGATACAAATTCTTCGCCATTAATTATATTAGTAGACGATCGCGCACCTTGTCATAACGATGAGAGTCGTAGGTAAAGCCATGTTATGTGCACAAGACGGGTATAGATATCCAAACCAACCAGCCTGATCATAATGATGAACCACAGGGAAATACCTGGAGCGCCATTGCTTTTTTTACACATCCGTCGCTCATTACCAGCATCAGCACCATCGCCAGGACGCCAAGTTAAAACCAATTAAGTATATCGTAATCTTTGTGAGACAGAATTTCCCCCAATGTCCTACCGTAAAACAGCCGACCGCCTCTATGCGCAGTGACACTTTCTTGACCCGTTGTCTGAAGATGAGTTCGAGTCAGAACTTCTACAGAAGGGATGAAACTATATCTTGCTCAGCAACGTCTATCTCAACAGGTAGCAACTAGTAATCTCACCTCTATCATAGCCGCTAGGGACTGATCGAATTTAATGGCAGTCTGAGCATTCCTTATGCTTGCACCAAGTACAATCCGTGTTGATGACAAAGATGCCGCCGCATTTGCAACAGTGAGCCGCATACATGGTGAATATGTTTCGTAATGCTTGACGTGAGGAGTATAATATATATGTGATATATACAATAGCAACTTTCGCTTCTAATGCCTAGTTTCTTCTAAGAATCTGCGTGTGAAAGAAAAATTGTTGGAAGAAGTGTGTACGAAACATTTGGGCTCTTCTGCTACGGGATGCCGGACTGATATACACGCCGCAAGGGCGAGCTTCCCCGTCACAGTGGGAGAAGGGGAAAACATCGCATGCCCTCAATTTCTTTCAAAAGAGCAGGCATATTCCGTCCGCAGGGTCCAGAAGACAAGACGAGTCACACTAGGAAAAGCTACCCCGCATGGGATTACAGTTCGCGGAAACGAATCATAGCTTGCGGGTGAGATGCAGTAGGACCTAAGAGGAAAGG